GCGAATATAAAATGAGCTGCAGTTTATAAATTCGTAGCACTTTGAACTCCGCCTTTTTACTCATGACGGCTTACTTCCAAAAGCGTTTTCGTTTGTGTGGGATCAGAATTTAAAGCGCGAATTCCATCTGACTCCCTTGCACCGAACGGTAAGAAATGAAGTCCGGACGGCCGACGAGTGCTGCCAAACAGGTGTCATTGCAATAATGATGCGCGAGTGAAGATTGCACGGCAGCAAACTATTTCATGGCACCAAGGGCCGCCCCTCAAACAAAACGGCGAGGCGCCGTACCCTGGCGGAAACAGACGAAACTATTTGTGGACGTGAATTGTGGGCAGTGTTACCGTCCCTGTGCGGCCACGGCTGGGCTGGCATGTACAGCGCGCCATTACACCCGTGGGTGGCAACGGCGGTATGCCCAGCCGCACGCTCGTCAGATGGTGTTTTTCCCTTCAGCAGAATGGATCCTGCCGCCAGGTCGGGCGGGGCTTCCGGCCATGGCCATTGTGCTGCCGAGATGGGCTGCCGGCGGTGGCGCATCCCGCGACGTAACGGGCGCTAAACGTCAGTCGCTCATGGATGGACCGTAAGGACATGCGACCAGAAAATGCATACGGTGCGTGGAAATTGTCTGCTTTTCAGCTTTCCAGCTGTGTCACACCGCTGAATTGATCGGACTATGGAAAACCACCATCAGAAATGGCCAGAGCCCTTTCGCTGTTGGGTTTGTCTGCGTATGAAGCTGCAACTTTTATCGTCGCGTGACGCCTCTATTCTGTCATGAGCTGACAGGAAGTTTTGTAGCGTATTCTTTGATAATAATTCTTCGCAGGCCAAACTAGGTTAATATAAAGAATCACCAAAGCGCCACTTTTTACAATGCTGACATTTAATGTCCCTATGAAACCAATGCAAAGTACAAAAAATAACACAATGGTTAGAGACCAACAAAAAACTATCTTAAGTGCCTACTCAGGGCCCCCCTCAGGGCACTTGCCAGTATATCAGTAACCGATTTCCGGCAGTCGTCCACGCAGCAGAACAGGTTTGCAAATACTTATGAGGATTACAATAAGCCTGCGACCCACCGACGCCTACCGAGCCACCTTGCAGAGGAATCAACGCATACGGTAATGTTAAACATAAGGCAACCGCAAATGAACGTAAATCGGCAGAACGGCGTTTTATAGATGAGTTTGGTGGTTGATCAGCCGATATCATTGGAAAGAGGCACATCAAACAACGGGAACACAGCATGTCATGCATTTAGAAATATCCCCAAGCTCAGTGGAGTGGTGGGGTGTGGACCCGAGGCTTATTCACAGACGTGTCAGCATCCTGTCTGCTCTGCAGGGACGTGGGCCGACCAAACGCCCACGGGTTGCAATGACAAACCAATTCAAAGGCACTTGGTCGCTTGGTGTAGATACAACCCATTTGTTTTCAGCGTGAAACAATAACATTTCCCGCCTTACCAGCGCTGAGTTGAACGATATTTTAGCGTATCAAACAAGCCGGACAGGATCGGAGGGAAGAGGCAGATAAAAAGTCGGGAGAAAAGGTGCAGTAACATTGTATTTTACTTCGTCGTGTATTGATGTCACGTGTCGTATTAACCCATCAAGTTGGTGCGTCCAAGCATTTTGATGGCTATTAGTACACCCGCCGCCATGACACGCACAGGTGGGAAGAAAGTGAATGGTAAGATGAGAGTAGAGAAAAGTTAGTAAGGCACGGGGGCTGGGTAAAGCAGAGTGAATTAAGGATAGCTCATATATGGGCGCTGCATGACCTATAGCAGTCGATGCGCCCTAAACCCCCAAATCATCATCATCATCAAGGATAGCTCATAGGCACATGTGTCAAGCTCGACTTGTTGACGGGATGCACAAGGATGCAGGTTGCACGGTTAAAAAAGTGCTACTATAAAAACAAGATGAAAGTGATAGATTGCGTGGAATTTGTTGGCCGTCTTCGTTGCGCTGGCTCGTTGGCATCGATTCGCTGCATTTGATTTTTCTTGATTTGTGCGAATGCATCAATATTTCAAGTCGGTTCGAGCGCTTATTTTTCATTGAAATTCCCGAGTTCAAAACATTTATATGCAAGACACAAGCGCTGCAAACTTCTATGCCGTCTGTGGCAGTCATACCACAAAATGACTTAAAACAAGCCACATGGATACCTTCAACGTTTGCATAAAAGCGGAAGACCTTTCAGACGTAACGGTGCGAGTTCGGGCGTTAGAAAAATCGTCATGCAGAAGGTTCCAACTTCTCGCTACTACCTGACAGTAGCGATGCTTGCAATGTTCATATTCGTGTTTTAAAACGATAAGCTGCAGAGTCGCTCAAAACCCGTCCATTGGTCGGCGCATATGCGCGTCGAATATTTGTAAATTCCTTGCTTTGCGAATGTTGCATGGTGCTTCTTAAATGGGGACATATCACAGAAAAGACACGCCAAAAAGACACGCCAAACAGGTCAAATGATGTCAAACGGAAAACCCGAACGGGTAAAGCGACTGCTCCGTCTAAATATCGGCAAAAAACGCACGTATATGTCGGAATGCACGTTCGCTCTGAGCTGATTAACGCACACCTACTTTAACCACTGGTTTTGTGTTTGCTTTTTTGGAACCGTGAAATCAAATCCGAAGACAGTATCTTCGAACCTTCATCATGCCAAGCCGCATCTGAAGTCAGGTGTTCGAACTGGGGAAACTCGCAACCAAAGCACAACCCGTCAGCTCTTGGGCAGCTGATCATCAGCTGATGTCTCATAGGGCCAAATCGAAGCCGAAGGGATTGGAATTCTGCAAGGATTCCTGTTAGCGGACCAGAGCTTAAACTAAAAACTATATCATACGTTCCGTAAACCACCTACTTTATGAGGCTTGCTGTGCAGACCACGTCCATTTCTAACTTACGGCGCCACTTGCGCATATGGAAGCACCCATCCTTGAAGGACGGCACAGCAGCATCATTACTCGTTAATAGATGTCTCCTCTTCTGAAGCACGGGCACCACACCACTCAGTCTAAAAGTTGGAGGGGCAGCTGTCCCCTTCGCACTCACCCCTCCATCTTTCTCCATTCCTACGCCTATGCACTCCGGAAGCCATATTTATTGCACTGGGGTCTTGTATTTTGGAAAGCATTTCTGGGAGGCTCACTGAAAAAACCTTTAAGTTCCAGACCCTGATGTCAAACTGTTCGGGAACCACAGGCCGACAAGGACTTTTTTTTCAGGAGCGCCAAACGCCGTAGCACGAGGGTTACCGCAGGCAGCTGGTAGCTCCAGTGACGTCAAACCGCCTGGCGCGTTTCAGCGCCACGACACTTTTTGCTACAGATAACTCCAGAACCAGACCTTCAACAGAGGTCTCCAATGACTCGCGACATACGCCTGCAGATCTAGGAAAGGAAGACAACAAGCAATCGGCCACTACTTTATCGCAAACACCAACAGCGCGGCCCGTCGGAATGGATTACTCTACTACCCCGCACGTTTACCGACCGGGACGAGGATGTTAGCACGGCACCAGGCGGCCTTGTGGCGATACGCCACTCCGTGCATTATTACGCGTAACGTTCGCGTCAGAGATTGCCGTCCGTTCGTGCTGGTAGATGTGGCGACTCTTTCACGCATTCATCACACCAATGTATCACACAGTCAGTAACAAGCATAGGCACATGCGTCATACATCTGGTACAAAACCCGACTTCAAGACTGTCAACAGACACGGTAAGCGCCCTTCGTCTCCGTCAGCCTCCAAGGCGCGGCGCGAGACTCGACCAGGCTCGCAAACGATGCGGACTGTCCACACGCTCCTGTGTCCTGTCCCGCGGTGAGGCCTTGCTGGTTACGGGAGAAGCCGGCGGCCGGGATAACCACCAATCAGGCGTTAGTGATTGCTCGGGACTGAAACACGGATTGGAGCGACGTGAGAGGTGCAGAACACGTGCAGTGTTAGTAGCTTGCTGCGAATAAAGCACGGCTTGGTCACGCTCCCTTTCATGTGCGAAACGCATGAAACGTTTGGACATCCGCATGGACGACAAAAGCGTACTGCTCTCCTCTTACAGACTTAGCGTTAGACCTGTCCACAAATTTCCAACGCAAATTATCACATGAATTGCAGGACAGCCTTAGTACTGGCGCTACACGAGCGACGTGATTAGTAATCTATCTACCGCGCTGCTTGGGTGAGAGGGCACTACAGAGCAATCACTACCCAGGCCATAACCAGCCCCACGCACACCAGTCGCGAGCTCCTAGTCATACAGACAGCGGAGCAGCAGTTGCTGCAGCTGCGTCTGGTGCGTCGCTACGTGTCGCTTCCCAGGGACCGCATGCTGGTGCTCCACCCTCCCCCAGTGACGCACGCCACCGACGGTTGGTGCGACGGGGTCGTCCCTCTCCCTCCCCCCCCCCCCCCCCACACACACGCAGAAGCTGGCGAGCTACGAGAGGCCACCAAAGCCAAGAGGAGGGCAGTGAAGAAGCATCGTCCCCTGCTGAGATGTGGTATAGCTCTGACCCCGACGCTGGTGTGTTGCCGGTAGGAGCATCTGGGGGGATGAAGAACGGGACATCGCGTGTCGCGGACAGAGCCGTACGCGGACTGGTTTCGGATGAAATCTGAATTACCTGTCTTCAGCTGGCCGCGTATATACTGGCCTTGCGTAAGACCCGATATAGTCGAGGAGCAAAACTGGTGGCATGCACTGTCAACGCACGCGCTTCCACAGCCAATCTCTGCAATGCGGTACGCTGTCTGTCGAACTCGAAGAAGCGTGTTCACTGACAGAGCATGCTGCTTACTGAAGGCGTTCAGTCCGAGCACCGCGACGGCCGCGCTGTCTACAAGCGTGCGTGCGTCAGCCGCACTCCGAAGACATGCTTGGCCCACAACTGCGACTCACCTCGGCCACGGGTGGGCGAGGCTTCCGACCCCACCACAGAGCAACAGCGCGCACACAAGCAACACACTGTCACCACACTGGACAGCGAGGGTGTATTACACCGGAAGGACAGTAGTTTGCGCAGAGTTCGCCATGGCGTCTGGTATCCACGGCACAGTTTCACTGCGATGAGCACAGCTAGTCCTAACTGCATACAACTGGTGCCAGAGGGCAACCACCGCGCGCTTGCATCGAGCAGTGGTAACACAACGGCACTGATAGCTCACCGCACACATAGAAAATCACGTGGAGCGTGACATGTGGCTACCCTGATAGATACATCACTTGACGAGTGAGACTCTCCTGACATGCTGACGTTCGTGGGACACGAAATGAAACGCCGCATCCGGCGAACATAAGACGCATTACGGCCTTGGACGAACGCTCGAAAAAGGAACTGACTTCGACTCTTCGTTGCCTCGTAACTCAGTTAATCATACACAACTCTTCACTGCATCGCTTTTAAAACACAATGACAACGAAGAAGTGATTCCGAAAACAGGAATGCACGCAAGGCCACCAAGATCGCAGTACATCGCCCGTGACCACCGTGTCCACCAGACGTGGTGACCAGGGACTATCCCGCACCTCACGTACAAAATAATTTTGATTTGTGCCTGTTCACTGATCCCGACATCCAAAAGCAGCTGCATAAGCAGCACCTTAGTACACCAGTATTACTGCGGTGGACGGCGGGTAAACTAAGCAATACCGGCCGAGACAGGGAGGGACAAACAATCGACATGGCCCGTCCCGGCGGCACAGATCCATGACAACGACTTGGTGCCGGACGCCCACCGTCACCAAGTCACGGGCGAAGCCAGACAGAGCCAGCCCAGCACTTCCTCGAGTCAGTCACGTCGCTGCCACCGCGCTGCGAGGGTCATACTACTGCCTTAGATCCCTGCCGTCGCCCGGGTGATATTACGTGTGCCCGTGACCGCAGCCGCCACGACCCCGTATGGCTACTGGAGTTTCGCTATACCCAGTTGTACTCTCTACAACTGGTATGGTGAGAGAAAATAGCATCCGCTAATCTACTGTCGTATTCCCACTTCGCTTATCAGGAACATCCACAAGTCCAATTTGATGACACGGATTGAGAATGGATGTAAAGTCTGGTTGTCCGTAAGGATGTAGAGTCTAGTTGTCCGTACGGATGGAAAGTTTGGATGCCCGTCTTTTTTGGTAATATCTTGTTTCAGGATGTCACGCACAGGATGGACGGCCGCTCCGCCGTCCACAGTAGGAGGGGGGCGGGGGGCCGCCTCAGTATGTCCGAGCCATGTTGCCGACCGGCCTTAGAGCGTGCCTAGCCGGGGCTGGGCGCCGCGGCTGGGCCGCGCGCTGCTCTCGGGCCAGCTGCAGACGCGGTCGGCCGACGCGCCGCCGCCGGCCGGGTGGCAGTAGCAGCCCGAGTGCGGCGGCGGCAGGGATGAGGGCGGGGAGCGCGCCGCCCAGCCCGTACCTCGGCGCAGGCGGGGCATCTCGCACTGCTCGCAGACGCCGATGGCCGGGTGGTTGAGGAAGGTACATGAGCCGCACTCCCACTGCGGCCCCTCGGCCGGCTCTTCTGGCGGACCTGCTGCACCGGGCAAGGACAACCAGCTTGGTCAGGGGCGCGTCTCCACACCACACGCGACAATAATTGACCTGTGGTACGCCTCGAAGACGCTAGTTGAAACAGACCACGTTCAATACTTGACTTTACACGTAACTGCCTTTGTTATCAAATTGCACAGGTCATATTGGATTATATAACACGAAACAGCATTTGGGCCTAAGACCATTACCAAGTCTCCATCCCTGATCCGTTGGTGCCGCAAGCCTAGATAAAAACAGCTTGGTCCTCCATTCCGGAGATGCAAGGACCAGCTGAGGTGCAAGCGCCAAGAAAACATCAGCCGACAAGATAAACTGACATATATGTCCAATTTCAAACTGTTCTGACATACATCGCCACACGTTATGCATGTGTATATGCATATATATATATATATATATATATATATATATATATATATATATATATATATATATATATATATATCCTGAAATTCACAACCTTCTCAAATCATCACCATTTTCTCTGCGCTAGTTATTTCAAATTGGTTACGCAAGAAATGTCAGCTAATCACGAACAAACGTAAACAAAACGTCAGCTGACAAGGTCAACTGAAACAGCTGCCACAGGTTTCAACCCAAGTGGCCGCACATTTCTTATACAGGTATTCACACCATAATTTGGATATACAGATTCTATTCATTGCAACAAACTAACTAACCATTGTCTGCAGTATGCCCAAAATATTTAATAAAATGCCAAACGGAAAGCCTCGACTTTTGCAGCCCTGGATCGCCTTTACCCCGTTGTTCTATTGCCTTGATTCCTGATGATAGATAGCCGTTGACCAAAATGTGATCCCTTTCGATGTAAAATTTTCGGTGTCCCGTGTTTCAACCAGCTGCCTCACTAATGCACCACATGCTATTATTACTAGTTACGTCCTCTGACGATTCGTGTCCGCACCCGAGAGGCCCAAAATGTGCAGTGTCATAAGCCGGGGAAAACACTTGAGAAAGCACGCCAGCGTACGCTGCACCAATAGGTCCTGTGAACTACACAAGCGACGCCAGTAGACAAATGAAGGCTTTTTCAAATCGCCACGATCCGAGACGCTGCGTCAGTGACGTGACTCTCACCTGGAGGGGAGAGGATGACCTCGGAGCTGTAGGACATCAAATGACGACGAGCTGAGAAAGAAAAACACTGAAATCAGTGCATCATCACGTGTACACCTCCCGCATAAATAATTCCACAGACATTGCACAAGCTCATGGCTGATGTCTTACTACCGTTATGTCCTTGTTCATTACTAGCCTCGCACACAGGCCATACATCAACAGAAGTTCCCAGGTACATCGCCGTGATCGTTACGGTGCTTCCTTCAAATTCCGTGGAGCGCGTGACGCAGCGACCGCGCCAGCTGTGCCCCACAGGGCCGGACAGGCCAGCGTGTCGGCCCGCCCACCAGGCGACACCCCCCCGCCCCGCCCCCCCCCCCACCCCGCTGTGCCCCACAGGGCCGGACAGGCCAGCGTGTCGGCCTGCCTAGCAGGCGACCGCACCAGCTGTGACCCACAGGGCCGGACACGCCAGCGTGTCGGCCCGCCTAGCAGGCGACCGCACCAGCTGTGACCCACACGGCCGGACACGCCAGTGTGTCGGCCCGCCTAGCAGGCGACCGCACCAGCTGTGACCCACAGGGCCGGACACGCCAGCGTGTCGGCCCGCCTAGCAGGCGACCGCACCAGCTGTGACCCACAGGGCCGGACACGCCAGCGTGTCGGCCCGCCTAGCAGGCGACCGCACCAGCTGTGACCCACAGGGCCGGACACGCCAGCGTGTCGGCCCGCCTAGCAGGCGACCGCACCAGCTGTGACCCACACGGCCGGACACGCCAGCGTGTCGGCCCGCCTAGCAGGCGACCGCACCAGCTGTGACCCACACGGCCGGACACGCCAGCGTGTCGGCCCGCCTAGCAGGCGACCGCACCAGCTGTGACCCACAGGGCCGGACACGCCAGCGTGTCGGCCCGCCTAGCAGGCGCCTTACCCTCTTCCGCTCGCAGCCGCCGTACATCCGCCGACAGGAGCTCACAGCTGCGGCGCCATCGGCTGTTGTCCTCGGCCAAGCGCACACGCTCGTCCGGCTGTAACACAGCAGCGGTCAGCGATCGGGTCGGACCGGTGGCGCCGCTCGTCCGACCCCGCACCGCCAGACGGCGGCAGCCGCGACAACGGGCACGGCGGCGCTCAGCGTGGACACCGGTGGCCATCGGTAGCGAAGCGAACGCGCCCGGGCAGTTTATGGTTGACGGATGGTCAGGTGAGTGCATCAGAAGCAGATGCATCCATGTGATTGTCGATCACTTGCCTGATCATGGAAGGCTGAGCACACATGCTATTATTACGTATAACACACCTGTTCACCAATATGCAACAATATAAGCTACTCAGTTTATTGGTGACAAAGTGACAGCGAAGGCAGGTATCGAATGGGCATGGATGTAGAAATTGTAGGAAGTAGGAACTTCGCGAGCTGTATAGACTGTGCGGAAAACGGCTGAGACGCTAAGCACAATGTTTCTCCATCTCGGTGCAGCGAACGGAGAGACGTGTGGGCTTTAGGCTGAACACCATAAGTCAACTGCCAATGCCGTCAGACGCTGCCTCTTGCCGTGCAACGCTCCAGCCCACGGGCGCAGCGTGATTGTGAGCACGAATCCGACTCACCACTGGGGCTGACGCCATCTCCAGCTGGCGCATCAGCAGGTTAGTGTCGGCCAGCAGGCTCTCGTACAAACGCGTATTGCGCTCCATCTCGCACCGCAGCCTGTTATAGGCCGCCTCCTGGCTGCGCAGCAGCGCTGCCGGTCAGGAGCAACGCGACGAGCAACGGTTAGCGGTGGTGCGGTGGCGGCGAGCGGCGCCAGTCTGGCGGAGAGCAACAGGGCTCCGCGTGGCGCCAGTGGGCTCCGCCGGGTGGATCCCAGGAGGCCCCAGTGCCATAAAAAGCTCCTTTGGTCGGGCCATGCCACAATGAGTTACACAGGGTTTCGGCCGGTCAAATCTCCGGTTGCCCGGTGATACCAGGGCACCAGAGTATGACAAGCCCGTCATGGTCTTGCATTAATTCCAGCCAGTTACAAATGGTTTAGAGGGGAAATAACGTGAAACACTGCGTGACCAGAGGCCTCCGTGAGTGGTCAGCTAATTATGAAAAAGGGTCTTCATTATTGCAATTTCACGGAGGCGACGTTTAGGACATCGCATATTTTGCATATTGGCAAAAATACAATGGAGCTTCTGTAGACTTGATGCATGCTGTTTATGTTACATTTGGTATACAGCTGAGGGTCTCGGCGCCTCCTGTTCACCCCTCACCTTCTCTTCTTCCAATACAGTCCCACATCAATGACACGAGAGTTCAAATTAACCGAGCGCGCTCTTTGTACCTCTACATGCTCTGCTACCGCGGGAGAATCATCACAGCCGAGCGAACGGGCAGTCTGGAGGGGTCGGGTCCAGAAACAACGGCAGAGGCGCGGCCAGCGTCGCGACGCCACGTACCGGGGTCGGCAGCGGCGGCGGCAGCGGGCGGGCGGACGACCGGCCGGGCCGACGGCTGAGGCTGCCAAACGGGCCGGCGGGGCGGCGTCACGAACACCGGCCGGTCGCCGATGCGCACATCCTCCATGCCGACCGCCAGGTCGGGCGGCGGCTCGTCCCGAGACATGGCCTCGCCGCCCGACGGCGGCCCGACCCGACGCTGCCGGACACCGACGCCGCTCAGCACTCCTTGCTCCCAGCACACATCCATCAATATCCAACGGTTTCAGACAGTGTGGCTACACTGGTTGTTTGTCATGTTGCATGGGAAATGTGTCTTACATTGTATCATGGCAAAGTTGACAGTTGCTGGAATAACTCAAGTTATCTGAAGCCTCAGCTCAGTTATGGAACTATAGCTACAATTATTAAAAGTATCCGTATTTCTATTGGGAGTTGTCAAACTACAGGCCACATAGCTATTCCAGGATTTGTCAATAGCACACCACAAAACTTGTGCCTTTCTGAATGAATGCTTACCAATAAATGCAACTTATTATTTCTTAGAGGTGGACCCAAAAATGGGAACTTTACCAAAACATTAACTGTGAGGTGCAGGAATATGTTCTTAGAAATGACATTTGAACATGTCAGAGACAGATTATGGTTATATCCCAAAATGCAGGCACTGTCCTGTGATGCTGCTTGGATGTATGTCTGAAGCAAATATCACCTACACCAGCACATAAGAAATTGCATGGTTAGCAAGCAAGCTTTGTCATCAGCCACTTGGCATGAATACAGGTCACTGTCAACTATTGGCTTGAATGATGCCTGAAGCCCTGAACCAGTCTGAAATGCTTGGAAGCTTAACTGGGCATGAGAAACAACAATCATGTTTTGTACCACACAAATTCAAACAACCCATGAATATGTTGATATCCAATGAACTATTCCTCCTGTGTTATATTGGGGCAATGTAGTATGATTAACAAACTACCTAAAATCATTTGGCTAATCCCCTGCCCCATGCACTGGTTTGAAGAGGATAGTGGAATGACTCGGCAAGACAATTTGATAGGTGCAGCAGTAAGAGAATATGACTGGTTGAGGAATGGTATGAGTGGAAATGTAGCCATGAAAGCTCACCCATGCTTGGAGAAATTGCAGTAATCCTCTGCCAGTATTGCGTAAGTTGCCTTCACTTGATTTTTCAGGCTAGAGAACTTAAGACAGCTGTTTTCTGAACTCTCACATAGCCAGTGAGTGAGGTCTGGCATTGCTCTGATCAGTATTTACACAGCATTTCAAATCTTACTATGAAGTGTATAAACTTCTCAACAAGTAGACAATGGTGAAAATATTTCAGTTTTACAACATAAAATATTTGCCTGTGCACTATTAATGGCATGAGCATTCACAGAAAAAAAGACCAAAGAAATAAGTGTAGTGTGTAGTGAAGAAATCTGTGCAAAAAAGCAGGTGGCATGGCAAACTTCAAAAAGGAGGATGGCTGCTGATTGAGTCTTGTAGCACATAACATTTCATACTTTTAGTGGTTATCAAATGAAATTTTCTCATTTTACATGTAAGCAGCAAAACATAATATAATAATCCAAGGCCTCAAACCTAAACCAAATGCTATCATTATCATACAATGAGGACAAAACATAACCAACATTTCTATTTTATTCACTTGGAGGCATACCAAGGCTGCTGATCAGTTCAACTTAAAAGTGATACAAAACTGTGTTTCTCTTAGGATTTAATTTGCCTTATTCCCAGCTGAGGACTTACCTTAAGGTTACAGAGTTTGGTTGTCAGAGCATTTCAGACACTTGACTCTATACAGCACCTGAAAATATGGCATTATTTAAGATAATTCACATCAAAAACTAAGTGCTCAGGAAAGGCCACCAAACCAGAAAAGAAATCCCTCACCAAAAAAATTAAAAAAAACAATGCTGGTTTCCTCAGGTCTGTTGATAAAAACATACTAAACCCATAAAATGATCAGGTGCAGTGAGACATTGAGTTACACCCCTAACGCCACAGTGACATTAACCCTTCAGGCTTGCAATATTCACATTCAGTACTCAGATGTACAATAACTGTCTTGCTGCAAATTGAAACCAATGGTGTGCTGCAAATGGAATACAAAATGGTCCAGCTTTGTTACCTGTGAGAAACATAATGAATAGCATTACTACCACACAATGATTATGGATGTGCTACAGAAACTATGTTCAGTTACCCAAAATCAAGGAGAAAATGTCACGCGAAAGGGGAGCACATGGTGGACCAATGCACAGAAATCAGCTCTAGCATTGACTGGAGGGCAGGCTGGGTGTTCAAGCAAATGATGACCCTAACCTGCCCAAGATATTTAGACATGCCCTCACCCCTTTAAAATGCACTTACCGATTTCTAGACTCAGCAACATACGTACGTGCATCGGGCAGCACTGAACTCGCAACGGCACTGAGAGCGATTGCAGAGTAGCCCTGATAGGCGTCCTACGTAATATTGTTATTCGCCAGAAATGCCTACAGTGCACAAGGCCTAAGAAAAATTAGAGCATCCGATGATGCAAAAAAGCTGCGATCAGCGTTCAGCGTGGGCTGCTAGTCGACTCCCGCATAAGAGCCGGACAATGGAAGTTCTCCTAAATTGGGGAGGAGGTGGTTGTTCGAGATAGCCATGCTCATGAAGCCAATTTTTAGCCCGGCCGACGCGCTCTGGAGACCTTCGAGGCCTGTCCGAGGACCCTTGGTTCCCTTGTCGTCCTTCCTGTGAGCGTCGATAGCGGCATCTCCATCAGTCCCGAACATACCGCCATCAAGAGCTCATAACGCCTGACGGCCTTGGGCCTGACGTACACCACGTCGGGAGGGAACAGGCTGTGTTCTGTCCCCTGCCAAGGCATGGTGCACCAACTTTCGCCATGCATAGTCGGGCACCCTGGACGGTCCCCAACTGGTCCTTGGTCATACCATGACCATACCTCTTCATGCCGTCACGCCTGGGGTCAAGTGAGAGTCCGCAAAACGAGTCAACCGTCTCTTAGTCCAAAACAGAGCTAAACCGTGTTTTTAAGTCGCGCTATCCACAAACAGACATCTGCGTAAAAGCAGGACCGCGGTCGTCTGGTTCCTCATCCCTACCATATTGGAGCCGTGCTGCTCGGGCGCCTTTCTCTGCCATCATACTCCGGCACTGGTCCCTATTGCAGTCTGCATACGGTATATACGTATATAGACCTATTTACGGTCCCTATACGGTACATACGGTCTGTATTTGGAAAGGACGACATGTTGTGTATCTGACAAAAATCTGAGAATCCGGCAGGAGCTGACCCCGTCGACTCCAGAGCAAATGCTTCGATTGTACAAGGCAATCAATCACTAAATCACAAAAACCGAAACAACAAGAGCAAAAAATAAAGAAAAACAAAACACCTACACGAATGTCATGCACAATCAGATAACAACTCGGGCCAGCCAAGCAATAAAGCAGAAGGAGAATGTAGTGCGTGTTGACGAAACCAGCACAGATGCGCTGGATGGGTTCCAGCAAGGATCCTGCCACCCCGAGTTATAATAAAAAAAGATAAGAGAAAGAGAGAAGTCAAACCGGCCAGCTAGCCAACAGACTAACCCCACAGCAAAAGGAAACTTTCATGAATATCGCGACGAGGCCTGTACGCCGCGCCTGGCTGCGACGCGGGACTGACGAAGGCCATGACAAGCCGCTGCGCTTCTACGTGACCGCCTCCAACGATAAAGATAAACATAGCCTCAGCGCAGGTTAACGAGCGAGCCGCCGCGCCGAAGCGCGCGTCATAGGCCTCGAACACTGTGCCCGCCCACACCGGGCCTGAGTGCCCTGTCACCGCCTGGCCGAATCACTTCCAGCCTCGCTTCCACGCTTAACCATTTAAAACACAGACTGCCATCTGTGTTAACATAAAAAAAATCACGTAACACGTCACGCACCCACCTCCCCCCTCTTTAGTTATGGGAGCACCCTCGAGACACATTGCCCGGCCGGGAGGGTCGCATGGTCAGTGCCCGCTCCCTCCTTTCCCTATCTACATGGGAGGTAACAGGTGGTCATGGTCCGCGCCCGCCTGATGAGGAGGGGTCAAGGGAGACGGGAGCGTCAGCCGTCCATGGCCTGGTAAACATGGGGATAACAGCCTGTGGACTCACATCACGTGCGTTGTTACCGGTTGTCGCCGCCGCCATCATGTGTCCAGCGCCTCCCCGAACCCTTCTCTCCTCTATAACCTTCCTCGGAACTTTCCTCTTAACTCCTCCTGAAAGGCCCTCTTCCTAGACCTCTTGCGCCATCCATAATTTTCCTTAATTCTTCGAGTTGGGTCGGGCCCGCCCTTGTTTTTCGCGTGTGGACCAATAGTTTTGCCGCAAAACTCCCTCCATCCAATGTGATGCCAGGTCGGCCTGCGCTGCTTCAAGGGCTCGGCTGCCACCGTTCCCCTGGGTCAGATCTCGGGTGTGGCGTCGCCGGCAATAGCGCACCTCGGGCAAGCCCCGTGCGTCCCTCTCTGGCCATGGTTTCCCCATGACGTTGCGCTTCTGATGCTAACTGGGGTGACGGCGGCGCCGACGCGGTGGGGTTCTTGGGGCGGGGCGGCACATACATTCATGTCAGGCAAACATGCTTGCGCGTATGATGTTTTGCCGGGGATCTGGCTTTTCGCGTCCATTAATCTTGATCGGCCGGCGGAGGGCAAGCGTTTCCCTTTGACGTGGTGGCCCATTTGGGTAGAACAGGCCACCGTCATGGCCGTTCCGGGGGGAGAACGGCGGCTTACGGCGGTGTCCACCTGGCCGGGGGACACACGCTGTTTTCCTCGCAGATCCAGTCAACAATGCGGGTCGATCGGCCAGGGAGTCAGGCGGGCCCGTGTTTAATTCTCAGGCCCGCTCGGCCTAATGGTCGTGTTTGGTTTGGCAGGGCGGGGCGCGGGGGGATTCCTGGCCACGGCCGGCTTGCTCACCATCCCACGCTCCACTGGAAGTCCTCAACGATGCTGGGCGGCAGACGCGCAAGGTGAAAAGTGAGAGCATGTATGCCTATAGCATCAAAATGCAGGGGTATCACAATTTCCCTGCCTCACACTCTGACGAAATCCTGGTTCGGCAACTTCGGTGAAAGAGTACCAAAAACCTTGACTCCGGGCCACATAGCATATATATTCTAGCATATATATTCTTATGAGGCGCCCAATGTCCACTGAACACCACGAACGGTCCTAATATTCATTTCAAACCGGTGTAAAACTCCAGGGGCACTTGAAATGGGCCCGAAATATTTACGTTGGAGGGAACCGAATTTAGCACTACCCCCTCGCCCCCGCCACCTTATTTCATAGGCCTCAAGGGTCCAATGGGTCTATGAGGGTCAGATTAAAGTGTCCGAAGGGCAGGCCAAAGAACGTATGGAGGGATCACAGCCCTAGGGCCGGACCCTCAAAGGTCAGAATGGGCCCTGCACAGATCAGAATGGACCCGCCACAGGCAATAACGGGCCGTTTACTGATAAGAATGGGCATCTACAGGTCAAAATGAGTCCTCTTCAGGCTCATAATTGTTCTCTTTTGGTGATGAGCGACCATACATAGCACAGAATGCGCCCTCGACAAGCTTAAATGGTCTTTGGGATGCATTCCCCCGCCCCCGTTTCGTTTTACTTAGGTATCTACAAGACCAAGGTGTACCACCCACGTCACTCCTTGCTCGACAAGCGCAATTATTTTGTGCGATTGTAAGGTGCCAGAGAACACCTATGTGCTAGCCGGTGAATGGTTGCGTAGTTTGGCGTGCGCCGCTTAGAGACGCTCGCGTTCCTCTCCTGTCCCCGGCGCCCCGTGAGAGGTATATGGCTGCGGGGGCCAGGAGAGGACAGAGTGACGAGGAAAAGACTCGGAGAGCCGCCGGCGCGGGGGCGGACGCGCCGGCGCGACGGACTGTGTGGAGTGCCTGTGATGATTGTCAAATACAGAAGTGACTTTCAACGTACCGTGTGTACCAGTACGCTGGAGGCGAGACACCGGAGCAGCAGAACTTACATATGAATCCTGTGTGGACAGCGGCAGTTCCTTGAAGTGCCGATAAAAAACCTCTGTATATTGGTAACTTTGTAGTACATTTTTGCCTGAAGTGGAATTTTAATATGTGCTGGAATAAATACGCTAGCCGGGGTCGTCGTAATATTGCACCACATTTATGGCGCAAGACAGACAGATGTTGCGGTTGGTCCTTCTTGTGTTTGTGGCTATATCATCTGGGTGAGCTCCAGTAGGTTTGATTCAATACACTGGCCTAATCTTAATTTAAACTTGTGAGCGTTGAGATCTGTGCCTGGGGGGTTTGCTCTTTTCTATAAGTTATTTCATTCTTTTTAGGTATTTGTTCTGTTCTCTGGAGAATGCCTTCAAGTCTTCTCTGTTGGATGAACCTCAATAGATCTGGCTGTGGTGTCTATGACAGTGGGCTGTTAATATTGAATGGTTGTATTATTTGTATGTAATACATTTGTATTTAGTTGTTAGCTGAGTACCCCAAATTCAGAGTACCCCACTGATTACCCCATAGGTGGAGTCAGAACCTTTGTAAAGGGGTAAGGGGCACAGGGTTCAAAAGGGCCTCCTGGTCGTGAAGGTCTCCTCCTCCCTCTGTAAAGGAAATCATGAGGCATGTCACAATTTGGGGGTGCATGATTTCATTTGTTCTGTTTGCACTTCTACCTTCTTTGGCTGAGACGGAAGCCAAAACCTAGCTGAGAGTGAAATTCTGTTTGTGTTTTGAAGTCAATAAACTGAAGGGGGCAGGCATTCAGTGACTGCATGGAAGAAACTGCTGGGGCCATTGATTTTACAATGGTTTACTGGACTCCCTGAACCAAAGAAACTCAGATGCTTTGCCAGAATTTTTGCTATGCTCGTGATAGATGTTGAGGAGCCTGTGAACATAGATTATAGATTTCAATGAGGTAAAAATTTACATTAACATGGCCGAGCCATGTCCTACTAAGAAAGTTCAACCTTCAGTCAGAATCGATGAGTAAGAACAGTTATGTAGCATTGTTTCAAGCTTGTGTACTCCCAATTTTTAGAACATCCCCCATGCCCCCCCCTCCCCCCGATGCCCGGCGTTGCAGTCTCCGGAGACCGCGCGGCATTACCTACGCAGCTAATGCTATGTGATGGCCCACCGAGGGCGAAAATAGTGACATATGTGAAAGAAGTGCCCTTAAGTGTGAATGTTTTAATGCATCAATTTGCACCTTTATAAGGCACTATGGTCATTCTTATCAGGAGTGGGTTGGACATGCCCAGAAATGGAGATGGATTGGGAACTTTGACATTGCATGTTTTTCCTAGTGTGCTGTCTGTTGCTTTGCATTCAGTTGATGCGTATTTATCAGAATTTGTTTTCAACATGACGTTCAAAAACTGGACTTCATTCCCGATGTATGCCTCTGTGACAATGAATGTAAGCATGCAATTGTTTTCCAAGCTGTAGTCCCAAGTTTGTATTTCATCCTCGTCAACCCCGGGATGTGACACAAAATTGAGGTGTTCTGTATTTGTATTTCAGGCCAGACATGGCATCTGGTATCGTGCAGTATGTGGTGGTGCGTTCAGACTTGATAACGTCGTTGAAGTGGCCGGTTGGAGCTGTCATTGCCCAGGTGAGTGACATGGGCCATGGATGTCGCCATTGGGAGGAGGCAGCAGCACCCCCAGGCAGTGTAATGTAAAGTACAGCAGTGGGATCTGAAATTTGCCTTCCATCCTCCAAAGTTGAAGGGTGGGAGAGGCTGGACTGGACTTTTGTTTGCTGGACTGCCTTTTGTGGTCAAGAGTCTATGCAGCGCGACCATTTCCATCGACGAAGTAAAGCCACTCGCCTCATAAGTGGGATCACAGCAGGGGCGTCACCCAGGAGCGTGAGGGAGGGCCTCATAGGAGGCCTCCGGGGCCTGCATGCGCGCACCCCGCAACCAGTGAGTGATCATCATTTTGGACGGATTAAGCGTGCAAAAAAATCTCCCCGTAGAATGGGCAGAGCGTGTCTGATCTTGTGAGCAGTTTTTAGCACCAACAAATCCCAGACAACTGACATACTGTCATTTTTAGCGTCATTTTTTAGGTAATCCCGTGGCGACAACGCTGGCGTAATGGAAGTACCGCCAGATCTGGTGGAGTAGTACCATCTGTGGTAGTTGCCTTCCATTGGGCCCGTGTTGAGGTCAGAACTACACAGTAGCATAAATGCATAGAGAAGCAACCAGCAACACGAAATGTACCTAGTGAAGCGGGCTAGCGCTCCCAACATCCTAAATGATTGACTGATAACTTTTGGGAAGCCTAATCTTAAACGGTTTAACACTTATAGTTCAGTATACATACACAACCGCTCCTTCCGGAGCAATTGGGAACCCCGAGACCGTCAATCGTTCCAGCGCGAAATATTGTGGCTTCTCTTGGTCTATAGCGGAACCGCTCCGGCCGTGTTCACGTAAATCCCCATTGTTACAGGCGTGCCACGCGACGACGGCCGTGATGCACCGACACGCCGACGACGCGGACGTATTGACCTACCTCTCTGACCTGGACAACATGCACAAAGTGGTTCTGGCGGCTCCCGACTTGGCCTCGCTGACCAAACTGCGCGATGCGCTGCACGAGGCAGGTGTAGCGCACTACCTGTGGGTCGAACAGCCCGAGAACATTCCAACCTGTTTGACCACCAAACCGGCGCCCAAAGCACACGTGCAAAAGTTTTTCAAGAAGCTAAAGCTCTTCAATATCAGCAGCTGACCCGCTGTGGTGGTGGAAGCTGTTCAGTGTCAGCAGCTGACCGCGCGGGCTCTGTAGCGGTGGAGGCTGCTTAGTGTCAGCAGCTGACTGCACTGGCGATGTAGAGAGCAGGCTGTTTTAACGTGTCGCGGCCTGCCGCTGTGATCATGCTGCCACGTTTATTACAATGTGTCATATTCCTCTGAAGTTCCGCTATTGTGCTCATTTCTGTTACATAAATTGCATGCCGTTCAAAGCCTTTGCATTACGTAATGCGGTGGGAGCGAGACGAAGACACCGGTACAGCTGGTAGATTTATTGCAGACGTAACAGTAAAAACCAACCGAGAGGGCGCGGTGGACGGGCCGGGCGGTGGCGGCAGGACGGAGCCTGGCGGCCCCACGCGGCCCGCCCAGCGGTGCGGACGCCGCCCCCAACCGCCAGGGGTGGAGCGGCGGCGTCCGGCGGCCGCGAGCGCCGCACTAAAACCCAACCGGAGAATCACGACGATCAGAAACTGCAACCCTACGTACAACATATAGAAAACATGAGATTGTCTTGGTTCGACGCCATCGGGCCTTGGCCACGTATTGTTGAGCGGAACGGGAGGGTTGCCGTTCAACAACTGAGCCCCAGGCGGCCACTGCCCGATGGTGTGGTTGCGTTGGCAACCACGGCCGCCCGGCGCGCGCGGCCGCCGCTGCGGAGCGCCGCCGGGCCTTCCATCACACCCCGATGCAGAAGGAGACCCTGTTCCGTATTGCGCGTCGGCGCGCGCGCACGAGCGCCTTGGTACCGGTGCCGACGCGCGGATTCGTTGTCGGGCGTGCGGTTTGAATGTCGAAGCTGGTGGCTGTCAGTCGCCGGGCGAAAGGCGTGCCTTTCAGCGCTACTCTAACACCTATACACACACGCGCGCGCGCGCGCGCGCGCGGGCGCGCACACACACACGCACACACGCACACACGCGCACAGTACATCGGAACAGTGAGCACAAGACAAGCAACAAGATTGGCACTGGAGCGTAGGCCGAGGCCGGCCCGCAGCGGGCCCCGGCCCGGCGCGCCGCTCTCTCCAAGACGCTCTCACTACCATGAAAATATTTCATACTCGGAACATGTCCCCAAATCAACCAGAAGAACCGATACCGTTCTGAGACAGTTCTGCTGCACGACAAGCGGGCGGTGCAGCGGCGACGCCCACCAGCGATGCTTGTGACCTGAAGTCGTGACCTGACCACTCGACTGGAATGTGGAGACCGGTACTCCGGTCCTACGGACTGTTGCGCAAACCGATCGTAAACGGATGTCGTTTGCTCACAACAAGGACATATAAAAATAATATGCCAAGCTCTACGAAATGTCTAGATAAATTCGAGTAAAAAGTGATATTAAGACTGTTGTAACAACAAGGCAGCTTCAGCAATAAACATCGCCGATGGACATAACAAATAAATACATGCTTCCAAAACGCCACCATTGAGATGTGGATGCGCGATAAGCTCGGTGCGCGTTCGTCTGCGCGCGGTGGCGGACGGCCAGTGCACGCCCTCACCGCGCGGCAGCCGGCCACACATACGGCCCGTGCTCATCCATCTAACACGACTTGGTGCGGACACCGCGCGCGCGACCGACGGCCGGCGGCCTGTGTCGACTAGCACCTGCACGAGACGCGGCCGTGCGACCACAATGTACGGCCACCGACGGCCGGCCTGAGCCGGAACACACACACACACACACAGAGCCACTAACCGGGTCTTGGGTGAGCTACAGGTACCAAGCTGGGCGCAGGGTATACGGGCGCTGCGCTGCCGACGGCTGCGCTGGGTACGGCGGGCGGGTGCGGACGTGCGGCGCCGGTCGGTGCGGGTGCGCGACACAGAGGGCGGGGCGGGCGGCCGGTGGGGGTCAGACGTGGTCGCTGGCCGGGGAGGAGGCGGCCGGCACAAGCGGCGACCCGGCGCCGCCCATGCTCGGCTCCGTGTTACGGCGCCGCAGCTTGGTCGACTTCAGCTTCTTCAGCATGGTGGCCTGCGACGACGGCGGAGGCGCACAGAGGCAGGCAGAGAAAGAGAGAGAAAGAGAGAGGCCGGTTACACGCATGTGACAGCTCTGGGTCTGCCAGAAGGCCAAGTGCGGTAAAGAGCGCCCGAACATGCATACACTGACACACAAGAAGAACGTGACGGTGGCGGCGGCGGCAGTCAGTCGCGGGTAGACTCTCCATCGGTGGATACCAAAGACGGCTCGGTATTGCGGCGCCTCATTTTGATTTTCTTAAGCATTGTCGCCTAAAAAGAAATGTTGAAATAGAGATCAACACAACATAAAAATATGTACAACATAATATGGCTACAGAGTTACTCCAACGGTGGGCGTAGGAACGGTGATTCTGAAGGCATGCTGCGACCACCTTTTAAAAAGCTTAACCCCCAAGAATACCCCACACAATTGATTTAAAGGTGTGGTTTTATCGCTCCACTTCTTCAGAGGTTCATACGCCCCTAAGTAAGACCGTAGGAAAATATGAGCCTTGGTGGTATACAACGAGCCCACGACTGTCAAATCTAAACTTGATAGTCTGGTTTTGGGTCACAAAAGTCTGAAAGAAGAGCAAATATGTTTCGCCGAGGGTTTCGTCACGGCTACGCGCCTGTCTAGTATGCATGGTCTGCATAATCTACTTAGACTACAATGGTCCACGTAGTCATGAAGGAACCACACGACGTAATATATAAGCTCTTCTTTCGGGCTTCTCAATCTGACTGACATAGGCTCCATAGACCCTAGACCTTAGGATTTGGCCCAGCAATTTTCTACACACTGTCATTAAGTGCAAGAGAAAATGCAAGAGTTGTTCTGCTTTCCAAAATATACAACGGTTGCACTTCGCTTGAAAAACAAACGGCGGGCGACATTGTGGAACATTTCGCGGCAAATTACTGCGAATATGCTAAACGCATGCGTTCACAAACATTGCGTACATCGCGCACGGCATAGCTGAGAGCTGATTTCAAGTTAAGCTCCCGGGGCCCCATGAACAAAACCTGAATGCAACATTGCTTGTAGGTAATGGGTCCGATAATGCAACCAATTAGGTTATGATGCTCGTAATTTTGCAGAATTTCCTAAACCCACGTTGTTTGTCTTCTGTTAGCTTCGCCACTTTGACCATGTGCAAGGATGTTGCCGTGATTTAACAAACAGATGATGTTTAAAATTGCGACGGCCAGCCCATTATTTGCATGACAAAAACGTTGGAATAATGAGCTCGCAGTGGCCATGCTCAGGGCCGCATCAGGGCCCCAGGCATGCCCCACCATTGAAGCATTAAGTTGTCCCTAGCTGCGGCCAATTCAAGGCTTCACGTCAGTTCGATAGGCAGAGGTATTCAATGATGGGTGGCATGGGGAAAATTTTAACAGCTGACAGATCACATCCAGCAAAACGTGAGGAGCATGAAACCTGCGTGTCCATGAGAATCAAGGGAAGGGCCAAGACAAATATGTGGGATGGTGGCTGACGGCGATGACAGTAAAATTTGCCACTTTTGAACGACCGCTGGTTTTCCGACAGCTAGGGAGATGCGCTTGAAACATTTTTTGCGGCGCTTTGTTATCGACATAGACTCCTTAAAAACTTTTGGATGTGCAGTCGTGACATGTTCCACGTTATGCTTGTTTGAGAGAACAATAGAACACTTGCATAAAAATACTCATGCGGTCTGTTTCATTGCCACTCTGTGAGCAAGGCCTGTGGCCGAAAATTCATTCGGAATACTTACTACTAGCATATGCTATTACTGTTGTCATTTGGATTTAGTTTGGCGACGCTGCCACGCAATGACGGGATCCTTTTTCAACGCTGGCAACCGCGGTGGCAATATTGTTATTAAGGGAAAATGGCGCATCTGGCAATCGAACCGTGGCCTTGCACGATGTAGGCCAACGTCCATCATCAGAACAGTTATGACCCGTCTGGTCCCGTCTCCTTTAACTTTGTGTCCTGTTCCGCCTGACGTCAATGAGCCCAACACTTGTTTTTTGCGCCTATGCATGGGCGCAGAAAAGGTGTGATCATAAGGGGCATCACTGTGATCTAGATTGCCGGGTTATCATCTTTACACTATGTCCTTCATCTAGCTATGTCCATCTAGCATCATCTAGCTACCCAATTACCTGTGTCGTCTTTTGTCCGGCCCGGTGACCTTCCTGATAACGTACCAACCTTACCCCAGCCATCCGAACTAGCAATGCACTCAAAAGGGCCAGCACACGCTCACAGTCATTGGTTGCGCCTCATCACCCTACCCTGTACGGCGCCAGCTCCAAGCTCGCACAGCCCGCAGTCTCGTGTTTTATTGACACGAGAGTATGACTAATGAAGGAATGCAGGACTGACTAGTCCGTGCCCCATGATTGGCTGACGAACCGTGCTTGGGCACCAGCATGCGCCCGGTCTCGCTGAGTCGCCTGTCGCGCCGGCCTGAGCGGTCGTCGCCCAGCCCGGCCCCGCTCACCTTGAGGGCCGACTTGAGGACGACCACCTCTCCGGCCGGCTGCACCCACGGCTCGCCGTCCACCTGCACCGGCATGTCGGTGTGCAAGTGGATGCGGATGTGGCCGCCCTGCGCCACGCGGATGGACGAGCGCAGGCCCGACTGGATCTGACCCAGGTGCACGACGCCTGTCACGCCCACGATCTCCAGCATGCCGTCCCAGTGGTTGGGCGTGCCGAACTGGTCGTCCTTCTCGGGTCCCCACGGGTTCGCACCGCTGCCCCAGCTGTGGACACCGCCGGCCGTCAGTGGCGCCCCGCCACGGCAGAGCACGCTCCGCAGCCGCTGGCGCCACAGCGCGGTCGCGCGCTTCACATTGTCTCCGTGGATGGGAGGACGCCTGGGGCTGACACGGACGCCTGGCAGTTTGACCAAGGTCGTAGAAGTAATGTGACATGGGGCAAGACTGGATAATATGCGGGTAATGACGCTTCATAGGCCGTGACTTTGGGGAAAGGTGTCGAGTCTCAGCTGCAGGAAGAACTTCATCGCGATACCCAGTCCTACCTGCGAAGGCCTCAGCCAGAGTCGCGCCAGCAATGCGTTCGTATCACATGCACGGCCAAATATTTACTTCATGTTGCGATAGCCAGTATAGCTGCAGTTAACATTCCAAGTCTAACATAATAAGGATGCACAAACATTTTAGGTACCTTTAGAGGCATGGTCATAGATTCACTAGGGTATGTCAACCCAGCTTCGCCTCAGTCATGGCAGGATAAAAACAGCTATGGCCTATATGAGCTGCTTGTGGGTATTTTCGCAGACAGACATCGATACCCATGCTTCTGAATGCTTCTTAATGCTTTCCATCTGTTTCAGTACCGATCCGAAAGATGTACTGAAAACGTCAACAACTTATTGATCATGGTCTCTCAAAGAAATCGATGGATGCTGTGATCGGAGATGACTGTTTAGATTGGCAATTAATTTTAGACTGCGTTCTTCTCGCAATGTTGCAGGATTATTGACGACCAAGACACAAAAAACATACTGATACAGCCCATAGGACATGCGTGCTGCAATGGTGTTCTGAATGGTTGCGTTCCAAATCATACCAGATAGCAAAAATTATTCCGTTGGCGATTGTTCAAGACCCCACCCTTTAATTGGCCTCATGACAGAGAGCGTTATACAGCCATGGACTGTTACGCCACACATGGATAGTAAACAGTGACGAGTGAATGATGAGCGTGGGCCGTGACGCGCCAAATCCGGCGTGGGCAGGGGAGCGTCTCAGAGAGCGGGGTGCCAGAACCTCCAGACGCGGCACGACGCGCCTCTCACCTCAGGATATTCAAAATGATGATGCCCTCGACGGGTGGTAGCTCTAGCGGCTTCCCATCGACCTCCACTTTCATGTGCCGGTGAAGGTCCTTGCACATCTTTCTGCTCATCATCTTGCGCAGGCCCATCTTGACGTATACGCCCTTGTTGTGCAGCCGACTGTTGAACTTGTCCGGATTCTCCTCCCTCGCGTTGTGGAAGTCCAGGCAGAGGTCGGCATCAATGCCGATCCCGAAGTAATTGTTCATCACGAATATTTGTGTGTTGTCCTCGCTCGTCGAACCTGGGTGCGTAGAGTGCCAGGGTAAATATGCTGCGAAAGAACTTCGTAAGTCTATTTGACGCGGTGATCGTACGTATGGAAATAATGAAGCTACAGGACGATTTTTATTAAGTTACATCTCACCGTACACGCGAGTTGACATGATATCAGCTCGCGTTCACTGTGTGGATTGCACCGGGTGCTGGTATTGGTAGATAGCTGGGTATTTTGGCCGGAGTAGCGCCAGCACCAGGAGGGCGCCAGGCCCCGGGTTAGAGGGCCGAGCGGTGGCGCAGCCAAGGCAGGCTCATGGATCTTTTTCGCCTCTCCCAGTCCGTCAGCTTCGAGCACAGTTTTACCCTTGACACTACTGAACATAACTCCGAAATCTAGTGATCAGAAAAACTATGTTTGTCGTAGATCTCACAGAGGCTATCATGGACAGAAACATACAGACCCCATCAGCCATAATTCCGTCACAAGACTGGCGGACAGCCGAGTGCATGAGTACGGCACACAGCTGAAACCACTTTTTCAGGCGCCATGGCAAATCGACATCAATAGTTCATTGATACGCTAAGTACTCTTCTCCTATTCGTTCTCTTATTAGCGTGTGTGGGGTCTATTCGACTGTTCGCAGTGCAATGAAACTCGCTCGTTAACAGTCATTCCTCCCCACTGCAAATCATGGTAGCCCCTCCCGTCGCAAATAATGGTAGTCCCTCCCGTCGTAGATGCTGGCAACCATCCACTTCCCACCCTCCCCCTTCCCTCTCCCCATCACAAATCCTGGCTGCGCCCCTGCAGCCGCGCGGTGCCAAAGGCGCTGCCAGCCGCCGGCGGTGTCCACGGAGCGGCACCAGCAGCCGGGCGGTGCCAAAGGCGCTGCCAGGCGCCGGCAGCGCCCACGGAGCGGCACCAGCAGCCGCGCGGTGCCAAGGGCGCTGCCAGGCGCCAGCAGCGTCTACGGAGCGGCACCAGCAGCCGGGCCGCACCTTGTGAGTTGGGCAGCGCCGACCTGGTGAAGTCCACCTCCGCGCCCTTGTCGTCCGGGTGGAACACGACCGTCCAGCGGTCGAGCCGCACCTCTTCGGCGTCGATCACGTCCCGCAGCAGGGTGTTCGGGTCCTCGCCGCCCGAGTAGCCGGGCCCCCAGCGCAGCACGCGCGCCAGGTCGTTGCCTGCCGGTCGCCGGTCGGGCACAGGTCAGATCTCGGGTCAGCCCGCGCCGCGGTCGCTCCAGTGGTAGCCCTATCACGGCACGGCAGGGTCAGACCGCGTACTGATATATCTGCGATGCTCAGAGTCACGCCGAGTCTGCCAGTGCTCAGCTGCCACTAACACATGGTGTCCAATGAGCGAAGTTACCACGACCGTGTGGCTTACGCACGTTAGGTAGTTCACATATCATGTAATCTGCATTTCACAAATATCAGTTCTGAGCCAGGTCGGACAGTGCGCTGGGTATGTGTTACGACCCCATGTTGCAGTGGTAAGCTGCAGAGGTCCTGTCGTCCGCAGGACTTGCTGCGCATCGCTAGGGCTACGGCCAATATTTTCCTACAGGGAATGGTCCACATTTGAAGACATTGGAGCAAGAATCGGATGTGCTGAAATGAGCTCACTTATAACTATTAGCATGCTTTTGAGTGGAAAATACTGCTGTAGACGACCCAATTTCTAAGTTAAGTAAATATGCTCCGAAATACGTTACTGTTTGATTACGTCATCGTACCTTGCTTAACATTGATTGAGAGCCAATAGGCCATTATGTTTGGAAATTATGTGCACAAACGCCAGATATGCACGATTTGTCAATGATATTTTGGGGGCCTCGATCGACGCGTGGCTCATGAAATCGCAGAATTTGAATGACGCTTTTATGACGTCATGGGTGCCCAGGTGGCCTCGAGAGTCTCCCCGAAATAATTTGTACATCTTCGCAGGCGTGTAGCTCAGAAACTAGACCGCTTTAGATGTTAAGAAGGGCAGGGCTGATGACTCAACTGCACCAGATAATCTTCAAAGTGGCTAGGCCAGTTGAAAACCCCGAACAAATGTGGAACACCCTCTTTATAGGGGAATGGGGGGGGGGGGGTTGATGAGTAGCCATCACAATGGCCAATCGCGACAGTGGTGTAGCCGGCTGTAGGAATTTTGAGGTCATGTCCCCCCCCCCCCTCGGAGGCGGTGAGCGCCTTAGAGCCGAATGTCCCAAGACTTTTTGCCCATTCAAGACACCCGTAGGCTTTTTAAAACACCCAAAAAACGGGCTCTCAAGGCATCAAAATGGAAACCCGAACCCATAAAGGTCCTTAATCTGAAAGCAGATCGACTTTGAATTAAATGTGTTGAATTAAGAATTGCTTTAAGACTGATGCATCTTCACAAAAGGGAATCGGGAACAGTCAAAACACGCCACGTTTTCACACAGAGACCGGGGGCCAGCGCGGGTCAGTACGAACCGGTGCCGAGTGGCACTATGGCGCAGGGCGGCGACGAGCACTCGCTGTCCTGGCCCACGTTGTCCAAGCACTGCAGCACCCAGCCGATAGGTGCCGTCGCCGCCGCACACCAGGATACGGTAGTCGGGCACCTTGCGGAACACGTACAGCCTGCCGGGCCGGCTCGTCAGTACCGCCACTGACGCACAGCAACTGGCTGGCCAGCAGCCCATTTTGCACAACGCGCACTTTGTAAGGTTCGTCAAAGCATTGGAGGGAAATGACTAGCCTTGCGTCTGGTTTGGTCCTTGTATTAACTGATTCATTATCACAGTCTTTTCTCAGGAAGGGCTACGACGCACACAAGCAGCACACCATGTGTGGGCAGCAGGCGACGCACCACTCACCTCTGTTCCCGGCGCAGACACACTTTGTGTGGGCAGCAGGCGACGCGCCACTCACCTCTGTTGCCGGCGCAGGCGCACCACGTGTGGGCAGCAGGTGAAGCACCACTCACCTCTGTTGCCGGCTCAGACACACCACGTGTGGGCAGCAGGCGAAGCACCACTCACCCTGGCAGCGGTCCGCCGTTGTCCAGGTCGAACACCTGGCTGGGGTTGACCATGCGGCGGAAGCTGGTGATCAGTTCCAGACCCTGGCAGCCGCCAGACTTGACGTTGACGAAGAAGAGCACAGGCCGCACGCCCGCCGGGATCAGCTCCGGTGACAGCGACGGCAGGATCATCACTGAAGCCGCGACACAATGCATATAGCGTTTGCTTGGCACCACGGTGGTGACTGCACATTACTTACGTATAACCAAATTGATGACTATTTGAACTTCCACACTGTAGCTGAATGGTCATGCTGTTCCACAGCCTAAGGAAAGTGTAATCTACAAAAGGGGATTTTTGTACACAAAACTGACTTGTTTTGTACCCAAAAGTTATAAATGACCCTATTACTGCCCGAAAATACAGTCGGACATTTTCGGATAACACGACAATCCTGCCACCATCGTGTCGGGAAAAAACACGTGTGAAAGATATAAATCGTTCAAAATTTGCCAAACAATTAGCATGAATACTCCGCCGTCCGACCAGTGGTGTAAATTGTGCCGCGATGACTACCACTCTAGCAGTCTGTGAATGTAGACGAACGAGACAATAACAGCAGATAGCTGTTACAAATTGAAAACAAAGCGCCAAACCGGATGTCGATGCTTCTTTGAGACTGTCATCTGTCCATGAGTCTGGTGTGCGATGAGAACATCTCAGTTTTCTGAGAAAAGTAGCTCAACCTAAGAAAGGCCACCTGACGTCAGATATTGGTCCAGCACTGCTCGTGTTTCCTAATATTTCTGATGTTCGCGCATACTCCATAGGGACTTTATCTAGCTGGTCATGCAGTGAGTGATGAGCACATGATGGGCCAGTGTAACCCTGGACCACTCTGAGCTGGGCCAGTGTAACCCTGGGCCAGCCTGAGCTGTGTCAGTGTAACCCTGGGCCAGTCTGAGCTGTGTCAGTGTAACCCTGGGCCAGTCTGAGCTGTGTCAGTGTAACCCTGGGCCAGTCTGAGCTAGGCCAGTGTAACCCTGGGCCAGCCTAAGCTGTGCCAGTGTAACCCTGGGCCAGTCTGAGCTGTGTCAGTGTGACCCTTAGCCAGTCTGAGCTGTGCCAGTGTAACCATGGGCTATTTTGAGCTGTGCCAGTGTAACCATGGGCTATTTTGAGCTGTGTCAGTGTAACCGTGGGCTATTCTGAGCTGTGCCAGTGTAACCTTGGGTCAGTCTGAGCTATGTCAGTGTAACCCTGGGCCAGTCTGAGCTGTGTCAGTGTGGCCCCACGTGGTCAAACGCGGACGAAGCTTGCAGTCTAAAGACTTGCTGTGTCCATGCACGAGCCTTTAAAATTGTGCAATGCGTACGAAGTTGCTGATCAGTCACGCCGCGTGACGTAGACCCGTTTAATTCAATACTTGGATCATCACCGGCTGCGTCATTGTGCCGATAAACACAACGCCCCTCTCCCGTGACAGAACACAGGCGTCACACAACAGGGACACATTCTGTAATGTTCAGTGAAACGGGTACATGTAACATTTCCTTTTCTTGAGGCTGCGGCAATTTGACTCCTGATCAAGGTCAACATTACAGGCTCCTATAATGCAAACGATTATGCTTGAATGCCTGCCTTAAGCTAGGTACTTAGACAGTATGTATGCCATTGGATTCCATTTCACACCTGTACCATGAACCAATATGCTTGTTTGCTCTTTGTCCCATCGTAAAAACCATTCAAGTGTTGACAAACACATGTCCAGATCATTTGATGACACCTAGCCGCATATGGCGCAGGGTAGAAGTTAACGATTAACGCTTAGCGCAGCACATATTTCTGTTTTCCTACTTACAGTCATGGTTTACGTGCTTTCCCCGCTTCATGTCATCAGCTACTCATTTTACGTGCACTTCGTGTTTCTTGTCAGTATTTACTTATTTCACGTGTATTTCCTGTTTTATGTCATTTCATAAAATTGAAATGGAATAGGTTACACCTATTCCATTTCACCACGATCCCAGCACTGCGTAGATTGTGGACGGATAAACATCTCTTAAGCTCTTTCAAAAAATTATCTGGTTCGTAAGGTAGTCAGTGAAAACACAAAAAGTGGTCAGTATCTAGGTTCCTTAACATATGACCCCCAACTGGCATTCCTCTGGTATTTGGCGAATCTTGCGCCAGAGTGACTGGTATGCTCACCCAGCAGGTGTTTGTCCTCGTAGGAGGCCTCCTGCAGCATATAGTAGGCCCGGGTGGCGTCCTCAGCTTTGTTGTACACGATCACCAACGAGCCGTACTCATAGTAAATAGGTCCGATCGATGAAAATTTGTTGGCTGGAAGAATGCACACGTTGTGAAAGTCAGAGACAACTCTCGAATCATACATCACTTTGACACTCCTATCCTACCTAACTTAATATTGCAACTCCCACGCACACCCAGAGCAGCATCCGTCCCTGACTGTGCCGTCGGTCGCAACAGCGCTTAGCTCGATGCGAGCCTGCTCACCAGCAGGTAGCCCGTGTACTGTGAGTCAAACGTGAGAAGTCCGTGTTGTAACCCCTCATTGCTGGTTCGAGAAGTCATTGCGATCTGTCCTGACGAAGTCGCCACCAGACGACGCACCTTTACCGAGGATGCCCAGCAAGATGCGCTCGTACTGGCGCTGGTTCAGGTTCAACGGCAGGTTGCCGACGAAGAGTGCGACGTTGTTGCCATGTGGGTCGCGCCGTTCGGCCAGGTGGAACCTGGCCAGCGTCATCTGCAGCACTGAGTCGCGGCTGATGCTCTTCATCAGCTCCCAGGGCCGCTCGTCCGCCGCCAGCTCGCGCACGTTCACTGGCGGCCGCAGGCGGGTGACTTCAGAGTGCGGACGAGCAGGCCGGCACACATCCAGACATGAGGCACAGCTTTGCTACCCCTTCACAACTACCCACACCTGAGGTCTTGAAAGTCACCTGATTCAAGTCACTCTAAAACGGCGTTTGCATTATCACCGTAAACAGCAAGCATTGTGTTTAAACCAAGGGTGGCAATTATATTTCAGCCCGTAACGCGGGGGCGACCGAATTTTTGACAGGGTTGAAAGAAAATGCCTATTCCTGGCGCAAACATCCCTCAGAAAGACGTCTCCGGTAGGCGTAGGCAAACTTTTGATGTACTTGTCATAAAATCTAGAAAGGCAATGTCGTTTTCTTGCCCAAAACTTGCATATCTTCAAGGTAGTAAGATCTGAATGCAGTCAGTGTGGCTCCAAATAATTTTAGAGACGCGCGTCCAAGACATTCTATGCAATTCTTCGCAGTTCACTACCAGTCCAAAATATGTATTCAATGGATAAAAAATCCCATTTTCTTTGAGCTGATTTGTGTATGTTATGCATGACAACACGCATCAGTAATATTATGATGTTATGAGCGCATACAGAAAATAAAAACCGTACCACCCACTTACGTTTATTGCATGTGACCGCTACATCACATATGGACATCGTTTGTTTTCACGTTTATATGGTATCCAGTTAACAAAAAGTGGGGCTCTGCAAATCACTGTCTTTCCTCAAACAGAAATTTACACTTTCGGAAGTGATGGAAACACTTGTTTTCAGGCCTCATATTCTTACAGGTTGTGTATACGTGTTAGTGCAGCGTTAAGCATTGCCAGACCATTATTATATATCGTATGTTGAGTCACGTTCACCATTATTAGACAGTGACACAGTTCAGTAAAAATCTGAAAGATAGGAAACCTAGATTAAAAAGGATGTAAACTCATATGATGTTGTACAACTTATCTACAACGAGAGCAAATTTGTCAACGGAAACTTGACTTGAAACTTTCTTCATCTTGAAACTTGAAACTTGAAACTCATGAAACTTTCGTCATCATGTTATCATCATCAGTTTATTTACATTTGCGGAGCTTGACCCCCCCTCGGAAAAAAAATGGTAAATGAGACACAATCGACCAAACAAAAACGCTTCCGAAGCATAGGCCTGACGAGAAACGATGGGTGCATGCCTGTGTACCCTAGTTTTCGTGTATCTCAGAATTGGTACCAAATCAGGTTCCTGTCTAATGGTGCAAGCGTGAAAAGTGATAGTGTGTAGTCACACGACTCGTAGAAAATATTTTAAGTTTTAAGAAATGGAGAGGTAGAAGAGCCATCACGAATCCAGGTTCTCGGGAGCCACAGAGGAATGTTACTAAACCTGAGTGCAATGAAGAATCCCTACGGCAATTAACGTCAGAGAGACAGCTAGCTAAATGGCTAGCCGGCTAGCTAGCTAGATTGGCGGATATGTAAAATGTGGATGTATTCAAGGTAACAGATAGGCGATGTTCCTGCAGCTGTCCTATCTGGCTGTATATGATGGGATGGGGCCGACGGCCGGAGCTCACCGTTCCGGTCGATGAGCACCTCGCTGAGCGTGTAGTCGTCGGGCCCGCTCAGGCCCAGCTGGCGCAGGCAGTGCTCGATGACCTGGTGACTCGTGGTGTTGTCCGTCACGGGCACCTCCAGCTGCTCCTCCGTCACACGCATCTGCTGCGGGTGCACCTGGATACAGCCTGTCGGCAGAAGCAGATGGGAGAGGAGATCAGATGGGCAGTGCCAGGAGAGGGGACGGCCAGATGGGCGGTGTCAAGAGAGGGGGACGGTCAGATGGGCGGTGTCAGGGGAGGGCACGGCAAGATGGGCGGTGCCAGTGGACGGTCAGATAGGCGGTGCCAGTAAACGGATGGCCATTTGCTCCAGTCGCACAAATTTAACTCATATATGTCCGATGGCATTATCTTAAGCACATGTAATAAGCATGCGCAACTATTGACTCATATATGCCAGTGATTTCAGTGAATTTCGGTATTTTCCGCGAGACACTCACGCTACGACCTGCCTTAGAATTTATCATTTTCACATTTTCACCAGAAGGCAAAGCACCATCGCGACGAAGTGGCCTAGGAATCACAGGGCAGGTAACGCGACTGTCGCAGTCACGCGACCTGACCTGGGTGTGGTACGGCACTTAAACTTGTGCCTGGTTAAGATTTAACTCGGCAATTAGTCCGCCTTGCGATGAACTCTTTTGGACCACCATGAGAAATGAACAGTGGGATGACATGGCGGCGAGAACACAGACGCTTATCTGCGAAGCAGCTCACGCAAGCTGGTTGTATGGGGTGCAACACTGATCATTGCAACGACCTGTGCCGACTTTTCTCTTGCTAGCCAAGTAGCCATTTGACAGACTGCTTACAAAAACAGATCATCTGTAAGTCATGACGTTATCAAGTTCCTCAACGCGTCAGCGGATGCAAGACGAAAATGGAGAAAGCAGCACAAGAGTTCATGCTTTGGGAAACATGATTGTGCACCGGACCATACTGTCACTTAACACGATATTGAAAACACGTTGCAAAGAACCACGGAATAGAAAAACCGATTTTCTGTGGTTTTACAACATCATCGCTGCAGTTATATAAAACCACCTATATGGGATATAGACAAAGGCGAAGAGCCACTTTTGAGTGAATGTCTAACATTATTTACCTTCGACAAAAAAAGATGATTTAACCCTCATATGTGGCCTCCTCACATCACTTCGTCTTGCAGCTATAAATGAAAGCTTGCTTCGCGGCATTGCATCGAATAACAACATTTAAAGAAAAACTGAGCTGGGTGCTTCGGTGGCATCCACTGTTAAGAGACTTCAAGAAGGAACCATAATTTATGGCCAGTTATGTCCAGCCGAGTGCTATTGTGCCTTAGCAGAGAGAGTTTGTCAGTATGTTTGGAATGCACGGGTGCACGTGATGCGTTTAATTTGCTTGTGCCGAGTTCGCTTTAGCCACGCCTGGTAACACGTACTGTAACCATCTCTCTCGCTGATGCTTGTGGGACGACTGAAACGCTGCCCGTGGGGCGTCTCGAACCCATGGCGGCGGACCGCAGCTGGCAGACGGCTAGACACCGCGGCGGACCGCAGCTGGCAGACGGCTAGACACCGCGGCGGACCGCAGCTGGCAGACGGCTAGACACCGCGACGGACCGCAGCTGGCAGACGGCTAGACACCGCGGCGGGCCGCAGCTGGCAGACGGCTAGACGCCGCGGTCGGCCGCAGCTGGCAGACCTGAGTACGCACCTGAGTGGTTGGTTTCCTGGCGCAGCCGGAGGAACACTGCCGGCCGTCGGCCGTCGCGTTTGCACAGCTGCCGAACCAGCAGACCGCTGTCTAGCTCCGACTCCTCCTCACTGTACGCGTCGCTCAGGTAATACTTGTCCGCTGAAACGCATGGATGGTGCCAGACAGCTCCGTTGAGGTCTCATTGTTGAAATATGTCATTCCTGGACGTAAATTTATCATTGTAGTCGACGCGCTCTAAAATAGCAATTGACAATAAAATAAAAGCAAAACTCATCCGCAGTTAGAGCCTCAGTGAGCATTTTTGGTGCACTAGCTCATCTATGTTATTTATTGTATTTGTGTTATTTGTCCGTATTAGTTACAGCATGTACAAATCTAACTTTGAGCATGTGAAATGTTTTCTAAATATGTTTGGACAGATAGGCGTACTATGCTGTTAGTTTATCTGCTTATTTTCCACGCCGCAGGATGTACAAGGCAAAGCGGAAATGCGACATATGTCCTGATCTCACCCCAGGATACATAAGGACAAATAATAAAGCTGGTGGGACTTTTAATTCACGGAATACCTACTAACATTGTGCAGCATGGACGGTAATATGTGCTTACCGGAACACGGAGACTTACTTAGAATTTGTTGTTTGTTGCAAAAGGTTTACGAAAATGAGGTGTAAAAGCATCGCTAAATGCACAAGAAACTTGTCGCATATTGGGGAAATGCCCTCGTTAGCAAAATGAATACAAGAATGCAGATAAAAGTGAACACAATTAGGTTTGCATGGCATGCAATAGAAAGGCAGGAAGCAAATTGAGCTGTTTTAGCTGTTTTAGCATCAAATTTTTGCGTCGAATATAATCGCTGCAGCTGGCTATAATCGCGTGATGCTGAAAAGTCACAGTATTATTCCAGCAAGACTTCTTGCATAGCGCGGGTGAAGTGCGATGATAACAGACAAGAGAGGCATCATTCATCACGGTGTTGATGGTATCGAAGCCAAACCTGATGACCCTTTGAGAGTGCGTTTGCTACTAGAGTCTCCGCACTAGTTTAAAAAACCTTGCTTAAAAACTGACTGGCAGTTGGAAACTAGCTGGCAATGAGAATATGTAATGCTCGCAGCGTCAGGCGACAAAATTGATGAAACTCCGACCCGATGCCATTTTTATGATAGGACAAGGACAATCAGAATTTGTTTGACATTTGACGAAATGATCCGTGACACGTGAGTCTTTTTGAAAAGCAATGCATCCATTAGGTATTACACCAGCACAAACAGCGTCTTAATTTTACACCGTTGAAAAATTCACAGCTTTAAGTTGAAGAAAATACATGACAGACGCTTTCCTGTCCAAGTTCAAATCTCCACAGATAAAGACAAAACGTAACGGCAGTACATATGATGAGCGATAATCCTGGGCATAGCCAACGTCGCGGTCGGTTGGATCTGAAACCCAGTTACTTCTGGGACAGACTGGAGTGCTTTTGTTTTTTGACGATGTTTAAAACAAGGCTTGAGCCGTAACATTTAGGGTTTAGTTGTGTCAATGGAATCACCTACTAATACGTATTGCGACATTCCACATGTATGAGTATGCAGGGTACAAATGGTGCCCTAACAACGAGGTGATAAGAAGAGAGGCGACCCTAACCGGTCGTGACCTGACTGACCTGACCAGTCGTCACCTGACGCTGGCCGTGGCTAGTCATGACCTGGCACTGACCTGCCCAGTCCCGAGGCCCGAGATAGACCCGAAGGGTCGGAGGCCGACACTGACCTGATTCGGGGCCGATGTGGAACGCGCCCAGCGCTGCCGACAGGATGGTGTCGGCCGCCGCCGACCGGCTGACCGCTATCGTGCGGAACATACGGCGCCGCAGCGAGCAGTTGCCGTCGAACACCTTGATCAGCTCTGGCGGCGATGGGTGGCGAGGTCAGCTGGCCAGATAACCTAGGACTCAGGGAGGGCGACGGGGTTATCAGGGCTCACATGAGGCCCAAGGGAGGGCGGCGGGGTCAACAGGGCGGACACGGGACCCAAGGGAGGGCGGTAAGGTCAGTAGGTCGAAAATGAGACCCAGGGGGAGAGGTGGCACCACGGGGTGGGGGGGGGGGGTATGACGGTAGCACGTTAGACAAGACCGTTCCGCTGCCACCGAGCCACTGGGTGCTGTGAAGCCAGGCTTCGCACAGTCTCCAAGCGATCAAGTCAGTATTACAGCACTGAAGGCCTCTCAACCCGCCTCAGCAAACTCTAGCGTCTATTTTCAAAAGACTGCTTGATACAAGCTGGTCATTCCATAGCCTACATTTTTTCACACGTTTCCGTGACATGTCACGGGGTCAGAGACACACCACGCCTTTTGTTCCCGTCTTCGTAGCGCGTTGTTGAATCAAAAACATACTGCGCTACAAGACAATGAACACCGCTCACGCTTCCCCAAAAAATTTTGGTGAATCTTAAGCTGTTCGCAGTTACTCCTCTGGATTACATCCGTGACCTCGTTTAGAAATAACTAGAGAAAATTTGCGCAAGAATAGTGCATGTACTGACCATCATCCTTCTCATCACTCTCCTTCTTCTTGCTGGACTCGCGGCTGTTTTTCTGCTCGACCCCATCCTCGTGGTTTTTCACTTCACCGCTGCTGAACTCTTCCGATATGCTTCGAGCTGTGGAAGCACGGTCAAAGGACACCCGTCACCGCAGCCTTAATGCATGTGACGGAGACAAATCAGCCATACGGTTTTTATGCTAAAATGCTTCGCATGGCTGAACAAACCTTTGGCACTGATGTTCAGGGTTAGAAAAAAGTGTAGTCAGATTTCATAACGAGGGCTACAAAACCCTCATAATGAACATCTAATCTCAAGATGAACTGCACGGAAACATGCCGCAAAGTGACGGTTGTTAAGCCAATGGTCGTCCACTGCTACCAGCCGTACCAAAACATCTGCGTCTTTTCACGGCAGTTGACCCCCCTCCCCCCCCCCCACACACACATTACTAATCTATGATCCAATGTTTGAAAAGCATTTCAGTGGTGTAAAAGACATGGCTACGATACGCATGCCATATGCTGTCATGCATCATCATTGCCGTCATTGGTCATTTACGTCATCATATTGCCAACGCAAATGGCTGATGGATGCAAGTTGAGGCATCTCTTGATCTTTGAAATCTTCGTTTCCTTTAAGGGCATTGAATTGCTACCTGGGCCGGCTATAGCAAAATGTACATGTCGCGCGGTTGAGAAATATCCGGATTTCAAAACGGTGCAAGATTTCGGGTCCCCTAAAGTCGGCATGCTGATAACGATTTTCGCACGAAAACGACTCAGTTGATCAAAAACATGCCTAATGACCTCATTTATCTTCTAAAACTAAGCGAGCGGGCTGCTATTTGCATGCAGGGCGCTTCGGGGCATATCACCACTAAGAGAGGATGGAGGTGAAGTATTTTGGTCACGGCAGGATAACAATAGGCATGTCTAGATAGAGACTGTGCCGTTAATCTACATACGAATAAACTTGAACAAAGCCGATCCCAATGAGCTTGACCAGCGCCGCGATTTTAAAGGGCACAGGTGCACGAAATAAAATAAATGAGCAGATAAAAGCACTATTGCATCGAGGCCATCCAAAACGTAACATCAGCCATTCAGTTTGGCATGGATCGAAGCCAACGATGCGCGAGGAGGGGGTGGTGACAACACCCACTACTTTTTTTACCTTTTTTGATATTGCATGGATTGACCTAGCAATTATATATCGCCCATGTCCCGGTGCACCAAGCAGCGGTTTCAGTGCGGTATGCTGTTAAACATGAAAAACGTGAGGCAATGACTGAAAAGAGGAGACAATGTATGCACGGTAAGTGGATAATTACACTTACGGGCTGAGAAATCCTTCGGAATGGCTTCTTTTCTTTTACTTATCATCCCGAGAAGAATATCTCGCGAGACTTCCGTCCTTGGGAAGCTCACTGAAAATGAACAAACACGTGTTAACATACTAAACCAAGCCACACCATGTCTTGGAGCGTCCTCTCACGGCATCTCCTTGATGTCGATCCGGTATGTCCCGTGCTATTCCATTAACTCCCCATGAACAAAAGCGTTTCACCTGTAGCGTCTCACTACCCCCCTGCACTGCCCCGCCATCTAAAGGGGCTGTCCCACAGTCCCCTGCACTGATCCTGCACCTGTTATGCAAGTCGATTATCTCCGACGTGCTGTTCCGGTATCTGCCGATACATGCCCGTATCTGCCTGCGAGGTCTCAGTACCCCTGACGCGTCTCAGCCAGTGCCGCGTCAGGGACATTACGTGCTGCCCAGGATCCGGCCGTGGCGTTCCAGTACCACCCTTCGTCTCGCCCCAGCACCCCCACGTGCCGTCCCCAGGTGTGCGCTGTGTCATCAGCTGCTCTCCGCCAGCTGCTCACTGGTGAGAGTGGCTTTGTGGGAGGGGGGAGGAGGCATCGGCGATATGGAGCACATCTGCGCGGTGGCGCCGGCTCGCCCGAGATGTGCCGACACCAGGTGACGCGCCACCGGCACCACAACGCACACCAGTACCACTGGCGCACAAGCCGCCAGCGAAAGAAGCCAAAACCGCTGGCATGCAATATACAACACATAAGCCACACCTGTAAGCTTGTAGCCAGAGATTTACAGACAATGTATAAATAAAACTACGGTGAGCGTATATAGTTAAATAAGTGGGCCTTACCCACCGCCATTGAGACTCCAGCGGTGAAGGTGAACACATCAGCAGTTCGCTATTTGACGCCGAACTGCTGATGTGGAGGCGTTACGAGCGAGACTCACCTGCACTGGGAGGCAGAACAAGGGGCTCCATTGCGCCAAATTTGCACTGAGGTGGAATGTGTTTCATACATGGTGCGTGAACCTGAGAGGAAAAGAAATGTTATGGGAGAGGAGAATCGCCAGTCTTTCATTCGCTCGTTCCTCTCAGGCTTCCGCTGCACGGCCAGAAAATGGTCTGCCTCGCCGTCCACATTGTCTTGCTTTGATCAGGAAGTAAAAAGACATGAGAAGAAATATTCTAAGAGTAAGGGCATTCTAAGTAATGGCACAAAGCTCTTAATGTCTATTCAGCGGACGAAAATGTGTTGCTGTTCATGAAATTCTTGACGACATACACATGACTGGAGATCATCAGAAGACACCGGCCGCGAGGATCACGAGAACTAGGTCACGAAAATGTCAGGGTCGGCTAGTCATGCATTCTGAATCATAAGATCATAAAAGACCCTACAGTAATCTTCAGAGAGAGAGAGAGGGAGAGAGAGACAGGGAGACAGAGGGAGAGAGAGGCGGAGAGAGAGAGGCGGCGAGAGAGAGCGGAGAAGAGAGGAGAGGAGAGGCGATAGAGAGAGAGAGGGAGAGAGGGGAGGAGCGAGGAAGAGAGAGAGGAATGAGAGAAGGGAGAGAGAGAGAGAGGGAGAGAGGAGAGAGAGAGAAGAGAGACTCTGTGAGAGAGTTGCCTGGAGGAGGGACGGGGGGTCGAGGGCGTCGACGAGAGACGGCTAGAGAGAATCTCGTCTGAGGTCTCTCGCTGACGGGGAGAGGAGAGAGAGAACGAGAGGAGAGAGACGAGAGGAGAGCGAGTCGGGAACCTTACCGTGATGGCCCACCCCTCGCGTCGCACACTTACCGTGGTGACGCACCACTCGCAGCGCATGCCCGTCAGACACTCGGACGACCAGCAGGTCTTGCGGCAGACGGCGCACTTGGAGTTACCGGGCAGGTTACCCTCGCGCCACAGGTGCCGGTGGGTTACCTCGCACGCCTTCTGGCCCGGAATGAACTCCGAACTGGTCTTGCAGTTAGGCACAGCAAACTCCTGGCAGTCCACGTGCACGTAGTACTCGCACACTGCACGGGTGACACAGAGACCCATGTTAGAAGTACCAAGTGATGTCAGGCGCTGGTGCTGCTGATTCCATTCGCGGAAAACAAACACTAGTTTGAGAGGCTTGCTTGTGATCTCGTCTGCTATGCTTTTCCAGGTAGGGCTTCTAATGTACCCACAAATAATTAATTTCGATGATGATAAATAAGCCACCTTTAAATCTATCATTTTGAGGTTTTCGGAAACAAGGCGACTACTTTAACACGCACCCGGGTGGTCGGCTGAATTCCCTCCACTCGGGGGAGGGGGGACGGGGACGGGGGGTTAATCGGACACCTCGCGAGATCTCACGAAGCTAGGGACACCAAATTCACAAACGTGTTTTTGGCCTGTGCGTGAACTCACTTGTGTCAAAATTTGAGGTTCCTAGTTCATGACCTTCGGGTACTTAAACCTAGGCGGCTGTTCTAAGCAAAAGGTCAGTGGTACTCATTTAAGGTCATTTAACTTGTGTGACCTTTCGAAAGTCATGGTGACCAAATCATTCAGGATTGCTTTTTGACTTTTTGCACTTGAATAATCATTCAAAATTACCCCAGACAAAATATTCCTAAAAACAAAGTTTTGACCCAGTTGATTGGAGGTCATTGACCTATTCTACCTATAAGAAGTCCATGAAAGCCGTACAGTGCTGCGACAGGGCCACTTCCGGCCAGACTGCCACTTTCTGGCCAGCGCAGAAAGTTTAAAAAGTTCCACTCTTCTACCCCTACGAATGTCCCATCGCAATGACGAAACTCAGCTGCATGTGTCATCAAAGCACATCTGGCCAGGTTGAGTTTACTAGCATTGTGATAGCGTTCACATCAGTTCAGGGGCGCAGTTTTTAAGTGAGGTGGGGTGGTTAATCGTAAAAAGTGATGAAAACTACTCCAAAACCCGCCAACAAACAGGGTTCTCCCCTGATCTGATCCCCTCTCAGATGGGAAGGGCGGGGGAGGACTCGAGGCCAAGTGAGGGGGGAGGAGGACAAACCTTCAACAAGCAAAGTACGGTGTTTGATTCCCGCAGTGCCCACCCTTCCTGCCAGTGTAAGAGGCAGGCAACGCCATTAAGCCTCAGCAGCACAGCGCGCGGCAAAGCCAAATGGCGACGACAGGTGGCCGGGTGGTGGGATCAGGAGCTAATAAACAAGCTTCACGCGGCATGTGGGTTCAGCATAGAACCATGCATGCAAGACATTCTATGCAATACTTGTGTAACATGGGAAGTGTGCAGCAACGTGTCGCATCTCAAGGACGCAAAGAAGAATGAGAGGAATCAAGGAACTGAATCCCAGGGGAGCAGTGGGATAAAATACAATGGCTAAAAAAGACAAGATTCTAATGAAGCCCAACATATGGTTAGGGTTTGGATACTCCACTAGCAGTAGGTCATTATGAAAAAGGGTGGTGCAAGATTTTCCACTTGGTATGTAACGATTATGATGACCTGTATTATGGCATGGAAACATAGTTGATCAAAAGCAGCTTTTCATCCCCAACCGACGTATACCAGACGAGGTGCCAATTTTGCTTCAATTTGTGGCACCATGTTGCTATGCCATAAAATAATACCATAATGCTACTACACGATAACGACACTATTGCGAAGTCGCTGCCATCATCGTGCGTTGGCCACACATGGGATCCAAGTTGAAGCCAAAGCTCCGAGGAGCATGCTGCAGCGTAAAACCAGAACTGCTGACGCAAAGAATGATACCGTATTGACCACGACCGGAGGCCACGTGCCAAACAAATACCTCAATCAAAAGTTTACGAAACATCAGTCTTTTAACACTGTTTTAGACCATCACGGTGAAAATGGCAGTCATTTTTATTTATCTCCCAAAAGGTTCCTCGACATTCTTACGCCAAACACTGTTTCATGCAAGACCGATTGTACTGATCGGGCGGGTAGCAGCGTTGAGGCGCGACAGACCACAAGGGCGCTGTGACAGACCACAGGGGCGCTTCAAAAAACCACAGGGGCGCTGCGACAGACCACAGGTGCGCTGCGAAAAACCACAGGGGCGCTGCCGCAGACCACAGGGGCGCAGCGAGGGCCACAGGGGCACTGCGGCAGACCACAGGGGCGCTGCGACAGATCACAGGGGCGCCCCGACAAACCACAGAGACGCCACGACAGACCAAAGGGGCGCCACAATAGACCACAGGGGCGCTGCGACAGACAGCAGGGGCGCTGCGACAGACCTCAGGGACGCCCCGACAGACCAAAGGGTCGCCACGTACCCTCGCAGCGCAGAGCCCACGTGTCGTCCAGCCGCTTGCGACAGATATTGCAGAAGCGCCGTTTGTAGTGGCCCGGTTCGACCCAGCAGTGCGCCACTGGGTTCTGCAAAGGAGCACGGCACGGTTATGAATCCAGTCCACTCCAACCCAGCCGCGGCGGACGTGGGCAGGCCGCAGCGGCCGCACCTGGTCCGGATCACCGCACCGCAGCGGCCGCAACTGGTCCGGATCACCGCACCGCAGCGGCTGCAACTGGTCCGGATCACCGCACCGCAGCGGCCGCAACTGGTCCGTATCACCGCACCGCAGCGGCCGCAACTGGTCTGGATGAGCGCACCGCAGCGGCCACAACTGGTCTAGATCACCGCACCGCAGCGGCCGCAACTGGTCTGGATTACCGCACCGCAGCGGCCGCAACTGGTCTGGATCACCGCACCGCAGCGGCCGCAACTGGTCCGGATCACCGCACCGCAGCGGCCGCGACTGGTCTGGATCACCGCACCGCAGCGGCCGCCACTGGTCCGGATCACCGCTTCCTACGGGCGACACCTGCTGTAGACAAACCAGGAACTGTTTACTCACCGGCTGCAGACAGACCAAAGACTGCTCAACCACAGGCTGTAGCCAGACCAGGCACTCTTTATTCCCCGGCTGTAGACAGACCAGACACTGCTCGCCCGTCGGCTGCAGACAAGGCCAAACGCTTCTCACCCATCAGCTGCAGCCGGACCAGACACTGCTTACCCACCGGCTGCAACCAGACCAGAGACTGCTCAACTACCAGCTGCAGACAGACCAAGCACTGCTCAACCACCGGCTGTAGCCAGACCAGGCACTGTTCACCCACCAGCTGCAGACAGACCAGACACGGCTTAACCACCGGCCGTAGATAGACCTGGCACTGCTTGCCCACCGGCTGTAGCCAGTTCAGGCACTGCTTACCCACCAGCTGAAGACAGACAAGTCCCCACTCACCCACCGGCTGCAATGGCCGCAAGTATCCACATAGCATATACAACATTGCAAATTAAGAACAGAAAAATGAACAGCTTAACCACAACCCGTCGGGAGCGTCGAATGCTGGGCGCGCTTTGGAAGCGGTGGGAGTCATCGGCTGTTCGTGTTGGCTCGTTTAAATGTCTAAAATAATATCATGTGCACGCGGTCGAGCATCTTTGGCTTAATCGACATCTATTACTTTGCGGGGACACTCGATACTTAAAAAGTTTAGCGTTCGTTGAACAGTTACATGACACTAAAAATTATTCCTGAGTCAACCATACCATGCCACAGCTTGATCACATTTCGTGTTTGAGTCACGCATGCCGCAAAATAAACAGATCATTTTAACTATATTTCAACACCCAAAACGGCGCTCATGGTTATGACCGGTATTACTTCAGTCCATGACAGATGCATCTGATCGAAATGATTTTATCCGTCTGATTGAAGTGATTTAAATGCGTCATTTGTGCCGAGAAAACCAATGGCATATGACATTGCCCGATAAAATAAAGTGCGGCAGCAATTCCATCACATTGTCCCGTTCACAAGTATTCTGTTGGTGAGCCGTTAAGATCAGGCTAAATCCAATTCAAAATGACTTTTTTGGCCGATGAGCGAGCAATTCATCGGATAAATTCAATACAAACGAGGAAACACGTGAAACATGAGGCATTGGCAAGGTTCTCTGACAGTGCTACCACAGTAGGAATTTACCTCACACTGTTATTCATCAGCATTGTTAGCTCCTTTTAAACAACGTTCTTCTGACAGATTTCGGAATTTATTGTCACAAGGCTGCATGAGCTCATGGTTCCAAGACGATGATGGTTAAAGCAGCTGACAGAGCATCAGCAAAGTTTCTGCAAAAATACATGTAAATGCATCACCACTTCCGAGACCGTCGTTTTTGCTTAATCGGCACTGGTTCTAACAAGATGGAGTCATTTCATATGGTGCGGCAATAGACTAGACAAATGCTTGCAAAGCCATTCCAAGGCTAGCGATCTCGCTGAAGATAACATGTCTGGGCTCTTCGTTTATCCGACTCATTCACATAGATCTGTTTTTGTGGGGCTGCGCAAATTTACAAAGGCATTGGGCTCTTTGTTTCCACGACCCCAGGTCCTCAGGCTTCTCTTTCGTGAGGCTATTGAAAAAGGAAATATTTACAACGGAATGACGCATTGCATCTAGCAGCTAAAGCTACCTAGTCTAGAGTCGTATAATTATCGAGACTTATTTCAGCGATGACAAGCAAGATGGCGACGCAGCATGCTGTCCTCAGGATCAAAGCTTGCCTTGCACGACACGGATGGCACATCGAGGACACCATCAGGGTGAACACTGGAGGCTCTCAGCTTAACAGCTTAAGGGTGCTGGCGCTTGTTACACTCTTAGATATGTGGTCTCACCACAATTTGCAAGCGCCTTGACCACAAGTGGTTGTATGCGGTACAACCTAAAGTGACTTGTGAAACATGGAGGGATTTCACCGCGCTTACACTTCTGAGACATGCTGTTCTCAGCTGGTGCTAGAGTCTGTTGTCATTTCGACTATGCCAGCTGATGTATGTCAAGGACGGTGATCTGCAGGTATCGGGGCTGGGGAATCTTCCCAGAAATGTCTCGCAAGACACGCTGGGTCGTGTATCTCCTCAATGCAGCAACGGGAGACAGCACGCGGACAGTCGTGCTGGGAGGGGGGGGGGGGGGGCGGTGGCACTGAATAGAGCTATGACCAATAAGAGGGCTATGACTAGTAGGGGGGGGGGGGGGGGAGGGGACGGGCTATGAGCAGTGCGCATCTACTTCCCGTTACCTGTTTGCTGTCATCGTACGCCGCCTACTTAACGGGCCGTTACCTGTTTGCTACTCTCGCATACCGCCTACCTTGATGAAGGCAGCGGCGATGGTGAAGCAGGGAGAGACGACAGAGACGCGACAGCGGTCGTGAATCACGAAGTTGCACACTGAAACCAGGGAAATATTTCAGTCGTCGAGTACAGTAAACTCCGAGGCGATGGTGAGGCAGGGAGAGCCGACAGAGACGCGACAGCGGTCGTGAATCACGAAGTTGCACACCGAAACCAGGGAAATACTTCAGTCGTCGAATACAGTAAGCTCCAGGGCGAAACGTAAAACGGCAAGCCGAGGTGTTTACTGAAATAGCGAAATATGACAAGATGCAAAGAATGTGTGTTGTGAAGCTACTCGCAACTAAAGTTTATTCTACATTTGTCTTTGATGAGGATAATAGAGCCATATAAGTCGCAGATAAATTACATGCCAACACAATGCTAACTCACCACTACAGCCGTGGACTCGCCATGTTTGCCGCGTCATCAGGAAAGTGCTTCACAGTATGTCGTATCATACTTACGGTGTGACTAAAATGCTGCGATTTCAAATGACATTTGGCATTACCATTCAATCTGCTGTTCAAATTTGCATATTTCTACAACGGGCAGTATGAAATACTACCGCAATTAAGAACTGGCTTAACCATCATTTAAACTGCACGATACGCACCGCCGAGAATTCAAGCCGAGCAAAACTTGATAAATGGGCCAGTATATTTAATCTTCGAAAATTTAACGACATGCAACTTGCAGACCGGAGAACATTGTTGTGCATGTGTGTGCCAAGGCCATTCTTAGTTTCGAGGTCAGAAAAATATTTGACCACATTGTCAAACACGTTGTGTGGGTTTTGTGGTTATGTAGTTAACTTCTAAGCTGTTCACAGAACTCCCATACTATATGGCATCTTACGTGTTAAAACCACAACCAAACCTGCCGACTAAATGAGCGTTACCTGGAATAACCTGCAGGTTGGGATAGCCCCCCACAACATAAGGCTTGAGATTTATCACGCAGCTGCCTTCCCAAATCGTCTTTTACGCTTATGAAACACGTTCTGCAACTGCTTTCAACGTTCGGTCTGTTGACGCCATTTCCACATGGCCCCCATGACCTGTCGTTCAAGCCCACCTTCCATGGGGTCGCTGGCTAAGCGATGCCTCATCAGCGAGATGCATGCCTAAATGCCTCATCTACAAACTTTGGTAACCCATTTTGTTACAAGAGGTGGCTTGTGACGATATTGTAGCATGATACTGGATGGCCCTTCATGCTAACTAAACCACTATGATCCCATGGCATATCCTAGAACAGGCAAGCCGGCTAAGGCCCTAAGACAATCATGTATCGAAATTGCACTGGCTCGGAAACCAAAATGTTATGCTTTCAGGCAAAGTTTATTATGCTAACTTGCCATAGGGTGACAGAAGTGATTTTTCGTCGCACAAATCGTCCTCAGCATTTGTTGAAGGATTCTAAAACAGCCGTGGTGTTTGTGTCGTTCGTTCCTAATCTGTAGCAACAAGCTGAGTGCTTCCAGGAAACCGCGGGATACGTCATCTGAAGGCTGCTTTCCAAGATACGCTTTTAGTAAAGAAGATTTTACATAGATAAATCATCAACCGTTTCTGAATAAATTTTGCCGCTGCCAACCTATACCCTAAAGGGTGCTTGTTTAGAGAGTAGCATACCACCCCGACCAATTGCAGCATTGCTCCTGTGAAATGTCACATGTATCACACTATAAGTAATCAGGCTTATGCCGATTATTGTAGCGGAGCTGTAGCTGCCGAAAGCACATGAGATCAAAAGTCGTGCAACTAACTACGCCTCGCGCAGGTCGCTGTCGCAGGAAATTTCTACTAATATCATGCCTTAGCAGCGCAGAACTCGGCTTACAGCTCAGCGAAGAAAAGACATATATATATATATATATATATATTATAAAAATATATCCTATTATAATATCCATCATAAATAAATGTATATACATATATATAGAAATATATATAATAAATATGGTATACTATAAAAATATATAATAAGAGAAAGTGTAAACCAAACAGTCTGGAAGGAAAGGTGTACCGTCGGGCGGCTGGGCTTCAAACGCTCTTCGGTGCGGATTGTCTTACACAAACACACAAATACACACAAATAAATACACAAACACACAAATACACACAAATACACAAACACACAAATACACACAAATACACAAATACACTACAGCTGCCTATTTTAATGGATAAATATCATGCTAATTGTGTGACGCTACTTTGGTGGTTTCGTGGTGCTGGTGTCATTGGTGGTGGTGGCGATGGTGTTGTCTTTATGTAATATTTTCAAACGATGTTTCCGGAGCTCAGCAAAAAAGACGGCGCGGCGGAGCGAAGCGAAATACATGCTAACGTTTTCCCCTATGAAAAATTGTTGGCGTCGCTCATGTAAGCAAGTATACCTGAAATGAAACGTAAGGTCTGTTGATGTTAGCCATGAAAACAACACAGTGAAGTGCATGAACGTGTTTGTAGGTTTTATTCAGATCTTTATTTTGCCACCAGGGAATGTGAACAGGCGCCCGGGTGACCAGGTGAACACCCTTCCCTCGGGTGTGAGTCAAGTGAACACATCGAGATCTCAAAAAGCAAGAAACTGGAGACGCCAAGTGCACAGCTTGACCTGGCGTGTATGAGAACTCACTTGTCTCAAATTTTGATATTCCTTGGCTATAAAATTGGGAGCAAATAAGGTCAAACGTGGTAAAACTCCAGATTGGTGTGCAAAGTGCCTCACATTTTTTTTCCTTTTCAGCGTCCAGCTTAATTATCCCCAACTACGCCCACAAGCAATAGTATGCAACTTCCCAACAGTCACGAACGGGTGTTTTGGCCACATTTCAACGGGAAACAGAAACGTATGTCAATGACGCCATCATAACGTCATTCGAATGCTGTCATTCCTTAAGTTATAGATATAACGACGATCAATTGGCCCTCAGTCAATGTTGTGTAAGGTCCGATGCCGCAATCGAACAATCACGTATTAAGGAGCATACTGAACTAAAAAGAGAAACATTTTCAGCACTTGCTGAAGTTGTCATAAGCTGGTTGTGTCCCCCACCTTAACCTGGAAGTTTTAAGCCAGCTAACCTGCAGTGATTACCTCTTAAACATGCTTGCACTACAATAAAGATATACTGCAGCTTTACAAACAAAATCACCCATTAGAAACATCTAAACTCACAAGAAGCTTCCACTGATGACGTCCTGTGCTACGGTCTGCTTTTTCGAGGTCGCAACTCTGGTTGTAATTGCAGAAAATGCAACGTGCAGACCGTTTCGCCCAACACCAGCAGGTAAGTCAGAATCCAGCTGGCCAAAAAGAGCATGTATTCTGCTAAAAATCCTTGTTGGAACCGATTAAGCATCCATTTATGTTTGTTAACATCTCTCATGCCGTGGTGACGAAATGCGTATAACAATTGTGCTCCTCAAACCAATTTTGCAGTCGAATTTCTTATGCCTCGTCATAGGGTTACTGCTTGACATTCTGGGAGAGTGAGGGTGCCCTCCCCCTCCCCCCCCCCCCACCCCCAAATCTCGTTCCAACATCTATGCTGTTACTGGTCAGGCATGGAACGGGTGTATACTAGCCACCTACCAATGACGTCCTAGGACTAAAACCAACCAATATGGACTCTAGCTAAAAATTTCGGTTAAAGCCATATATTGGTGCAGTGTAAAGAATGGATTCAAGGGGTGTTTCAGGACTTTAAACTTTTATTACGCTCCTGAGCTCAAGGCATTGCCTGAAAAACGGCTGGTAGCGAGCCTCAAGCTCTTGCTGTGGAACTTCTTTCTCTATGGCTGCATTTTCAAACGACCGTGCGTGTTACGAGCAGGCCTGCAGGCGGACGTGATGGCCTCAGTCGCGTGGCGGACGGAGCGTCCCGCCCAGCCGGGAAGCCTGGCGTCGCCTCTGTCTAGTCGGACGCACATATCAGCTGGCCGCGGTGGGGACGTTGGCTTCCTGTGTGCGGTTCCGTCGCCCCTCCAGTAGCATCCGGGGCTAGCTGGCCGCCCGGGCGCCAGCTGTTCGTCGGTGGAAGCCGTCGGGGCTCCCCGGCCGTCCGGCCCTCCCGGCCTGGCGCTCCTGCCATCGGACGGGCGGAGATACTGTGCCGCTGCACTTGACTGTCCGGCGGCACAGCGCTATCACACCATTTGTGTGCGATGAGACGAATGGGTTTATTGGATCCGCGATACAACCAACCTCGGACGTCAAAACAGTGTCAGGCTGTTATGCTCGTGTTTCTTAATACACGAATTGCATTGAAAGTGAGTAATAGAACAGTCGACTCTCAATCCAAGGGCGCAGGCGATGGTGCATCCGAGCAGTAACGTGAGCGCTCAAGCACCGTCAGCATCCGGAAATTCAGCACGTTCGCTCGACCGATGCAAACGCCTCTGTTGTATTAAGTCTGAATGAGGACAAGTAGAATAACACCCTCCCGGTGGAGGGGTACCGCCAATCGCAAGCATGTGTAACCCCAAGCCCATACACACAGGGACGCTCCAATACTAGTAGCGCACCAAAATCCAAACCGAGGTGTAGTTGAAACCTTAGTGTAGAGATGCGCCCAAGCGCTCGACAGACAGACGTCTCAACTAGAGACGCAACGTTCAGGCCGCCAACTAGCCAACATCCGACACCCAATAACCCGCAGGCCTTTGGCCGGGTTGTGTGCCAGGCTTGGCAGATTGTTGCGGGTCAAAAACTTCGAAATTCAAAACGAATAATTGTTTGCCATATCTTATTTTTTCAAAACATCCAAACACCAGAGTGAGGTCCTAGCACATTACAATCATCAAAAATAACATTTTGTTTTTCATTCGTGAGAAAACCTGACACAGAAACCCGTTTCAGACATGACACACCAGTAAGTCAGGCTGCATAAAGTGAACAACTTTACAAGCAAACATCTCACTGAAAAACTGAAGAATAACTACCCGAATTTGTATTGTTTGGTCTGATGTCATTGAGGAGTAGTTAGGTGAGTTATTAACATAATCGCAGCTACACGCTGCACCTGGCAATTGTTTGTGGGCGAGGCACACCTAATCTTTTTTGTTTCATACACAAATCACGCCTCGTAGCTATATGAATGACTAATGAAATCGGCGGGAGACTGTGACCTTTCATTGCTCTCGCCTCGCTCACTTGCCCATGCAGCTCGCAGTTACTGGTGTATTGCATGCGCAGTAGTTGTCAAAATTGAAAAAGCAGTGGTATAGACTTTGGATTTGTTTTGTGTGAAGACCATGTAAATTATGACCACGATAACCGGGAGCCTTACGTATTATACGTTTTATCCGCGCTGTGGTTGTTAATAGTGTTCTACACACATACCTCATCAGGACTTTTGTGCTTTTTGTTATTCTATTGATTTCCAATTGCTGTACCTATGTACAGATCAAAACTTACCGCTCACATACGACATCCATCACACACAACATATAGAGTGAAAAACGTGCAGCCAGCAAGTCATGTGAAATATGGACGGAGGTTTTAAGCATCACTTTTCCTTTTGAAATTTGGCTTCAAAATTCTACCTATGTGAATGCCGTCACTGGCATGGCAAAGATACTTGGATAAAAAGTTGTTGCTATCCTTGGTTGCGCACGGTATCACAGAAAGACAAAATATGGCTGTTGTGGAACGGAACGTGGATGTTGGTAAGAGGGAAATGTGGATCATCGAAAGCTGCCACGTGGTATTTATTCCTTGTATTATTCCTTGAATATTCCATGAGTACCCTTCTGCTCGGACCTATGAGGGCTCTTCTACCTAGAGTTGGGACTAGAGACACAACTGTTTCCAAAATGTCACCCGCAGCCGCGAGCCGGGGCCCTGGACATGAGATCAACAAAGCAATTGCTTGCTGTATTCTGTAACTTGTTTTTCATTTGAGACACACGCATAAAGGATGCTTAAAATACAATGCCGCTGTCATCTAATGCTCAACATTACTCGGCTATTACCAGGGATGTTGCTTACACTGCAGTGACTAAACCATGCAAGTTGTATTAAACCCAATCTCACTTTGAAGATTGTGATGTCAGTTTCTGGTGCACAAATTATAAGAAAAAGGGTGAAACCTAATATGGCTGACCACCGAAAAGTATCAGAATATTGCCCTTGCATCTCATTCAGTAAACGACAATGTACGTTTTCTAAAAATGCATGCGTCAACTAATGGCCTTTGGACTGATAGGGCAAAGAAATGCTGCATATTTGAAATCATGGGAAGTTTCCTCGGTCTCTTAGATTGTACACGGGAACAAACAACATTCAAAAGCGTCACTTCCACCTCAATGTCATAACCCGTATTCAAGAACCTAGCATAAGCTTTTATATGGCATCTGCTATCCGTGAGGGGTCTTCATGCAGCAACACGGAACTTGTATCACGTGGCAGCTTTAGATGATCCACACTTCCCTCTTACCAACATCAATGTTCCATTCCACAACAGCCATGTTTGTCTTTCTGTGATACCGTGCACAACCAAGGATAGCAACAACATTTTGTCAAACAATCTTTGCCACGCAGGTGGCGGCATTCACGTGTAGCAATGCTGCACAAAGCTATGGCATATCGTACAATTTTGAAGCCAAATTTCAACCGGAAGAAAATGGGAACAAGTGATTTTTAAAACTTTCATCCACGTTTTACATGGCGTGCTAGCTACAACTTCCGGGGTCTACAACTTATGTCTGATGGACGTCACATGTTAAACTGCAATTTTTGACACACCCGTGTATAAAGATACAGCAATTGGAAAGCGATAGAAAAGCAACTAGATCAAAAGCCATAAGAAGGCATATGTGTAGAACACTATTAACAACCGCAGTAGGTAAGAAATGTATAATACATAAAGTCCCCTGTTATCATAGTCATAATTTACATGGTCTTCACACAAAACATATCCAAAGTCTATACCACTGCTTTTTCAGTTTTGACAACTACTGCGCATGCAATACACCAGTAACTGCGAGCTGCATGGACAATTGAGCGAGGCGAGCGCAATGAAAGCTTACGGTCTCCCGCTGATTTCATTAGTCATGCATATAACTACGAGGCGTGGTTTGTGTATGAAACAAGAAAGATTCGGTGCGCTTCGCCCACAAAACAATAGCCAGGTGCAGCGTTTAGCTGTGTTTATATTTATGACTCACGTAACTACTCCTCAATTACATCAGGCCAAACCATGCCAATTTCGGTAGTTATTCTTCAGTTTTTCAGTGGATGTTTGCTTGTAAAGTTGTTCACTTTATGCATCCTGACTTACTGGTGTGTCATGTCTGAAATGGGTTTCTGTCTCAAGTTTTCTTACGAATGAAAACCGAAATGTTATTTTCGATGATTGTCGTGTGCTAGAATCTCACATTGGTGTTTGGATGTTTTGAAAAATTAAGACATAACAAACAATGATTCAGTTTGATTTTCAAAGCTTTTGACCCGCAACAATCCGCCAAGCCTGGCGCACAACCCGGCCAAAGACCAGCGGGTTATTGGGTGTCTTGGCTATCTGGCGGTCTGAACGTTGCGTCTCTAGTTGGGACGTCTGTCTGTCGAGCCCCTGGGCGCATCTCTACACTAAGGTTTCAACTACACCTCGGTTTGGTTTTTGGTGCGCTACTAGTATTGGAGCGTCCCTGTGTGTGTGTGTGGGCTTGGGGTTACACATGCTTGCGATTGCTGGTGCTCCTCTAACGGGAGGGTGTTATTCTACTTGTCCTCATTTAGATTTAATACAACAGAGGCGTATGCATCAGTCGAAGGGATGCGGTGAATTTCCGGATGCTGGCGGCTCGAGCCCTCATGTTACTGCTCGGATGCACCATCGCCTGCGCCCTTGGATTGAGAGTCGACTATTCTATTACTCACTTTCAATGCCATTCGTGTATTAAGAAACACGAGCATAACAGCCTGACACTGTTTTAACGTCCGAGGTTGGTTGTATCGCGGATCCAACAAACCCCTTCGTCTCATCGCACACAAATGGAGTGATAGCGCTGTGCCGCCGGACAGTCAAGTGCAGCGGCACAGTATCTCCGCCCGTCCGATGACAGGAGCGCCGGGCCGGGAGGGCCGGACGGCCGGGGAGCCCCGACGGCTTCCGCCGACGAACAGCTGGCGCCCGGGCGCCCAGTTGGCCCCCGGATGTTACTGGAGCGGCGACGGAACCGCACACAGGAAGCCAACGTCCCCACCGCGGCCAGCTGATATGTGCGTCCGACTAGACAGAGGCGACGCCAGGCTTTCCGGCTGAGCGGGACGCTCCGTCCGCCACGCGACTGAGGCCATCACGTCCGCCTGCAGGCCTGCTCGTAACACGCACGGTCGTTTGAAAATGCAGCGATAGAGAAAAAGTGTCACAGCATGAGCTTGATGCTGGCTAACAGCCGTTTTTCAGGCAATGCCTTGGGCTCAGGAGCGTAATAAAAGTTTTAAGTCTTGAAACACCCTTTGAATCCATTCGCTAAACTGCAGCAAAATACGGCTTTAACCGAAATTTTTAGCTAGAGTCCACATTAGTTGTTTTCAGCCCTAGGACGTCATTGGTAGGTGGTTAGTACATGCTTGTTACATGCCTGACCAGTAACAGTATAGACGTTGGAACGGGAATTGGGGGGGGGGGGGGGGGTTGGCGCATTAACCCTATGACGAGGCAGAAGAAAGTCGACTGCAAACTTGGTTTGGGCAGCACAATTTGCTTAAGCATTTTGTCACCACGGCATGAGGGATGCTAGCAACCATAAATAGATACTTAATCGGTTCCAACAAGGATTTTTTACCAGAATACGTACACTTCTTGGCCAGCTGCATTCTGACTTATCTACTGGTGTTGGGCGAAACAGTCTGGATGTTGCACTTTCTGCAATTACAACCAGAGTTGCGGCCTCGAAAAAGAGGCCGTAACACATGACGTCATTAGTGGAAGCTTCTTGGGAGGTCAGAAGTTTTGTAATGCGTGATTTTTGCTTGATGTGTATAAAACTGCAGTGCAACTTAACTGTAATGCAAGCACATTGAAAAAGTAATCACTGCAGGCCAGTTTGTTGAAAACTTTCAGGATAAGGTGGAGGACGCAACTAGCCTCTGTCAGTTTCAGCAAGTGGCGAAAATGTCCTGCATGGCACCGCTTAAAAAAGCCGAATCCAAGAATGCCCACAACTAGTGACATGTGCAATGGGGACATGGTACTATCAAAATTGACGTTGGACCCTTTAAGCTCTTTGTCTAATTGAATTCGAAGGACGATTGTCAGGATTTGGGTGTTATTTAAATGGAGGATTGTCAGGATCTGAGTACGATCTTGATGGACGATTGTCAGGATTTGGGTGCGCTTTAGCAAAGCAGGATTTCTAGAACAAAATAGCAAAAGTGGCTCATAATCTTGTGTATGCGACCAGGATATGTAAGTGCCTGCGTTTGCCTGTGGTACGTCATAAAAACACCACAATCACAGCAGTGCATCATGCCTCAACATCAAATACACCTTGAAGCCGAAGGCACAGTGAGTTCATTTTTAAGCATCACCGTAGGGTTGTGTGGAGTTGTCACGAAAATTAGTAACAATGCTTCCTTCCTCCTCTGCTCCCTTTTCCCGTAGTCTGCTGTCCATACCAAACCGAACCTTTTTCAATGTTACACAACGTGGCGCACTTACGCGTCGTGACAATCTTCTGCAAAGAGAACATTTCTTCGCAAAATATCCCCGATGCGTGGCTGACTGCTACAAATTATTTTGACAAGGTCATGCGTTCAACGAAAAAGCACAGCGCAGTTCTGACGATCGATCGCGGCCAGCGCAGCATGCAGGGCCGTCAATAGGGACAGCTCAGAAGCTCGGTAGGTGTGCGCGCCGTCCTGCATCGGCAACCTTCAAACATCTGTGCAGGGGGCGGCAAACCCTCTCACCTTCACAGATGTAGCCCTGGCCAATGAAGCCCCAGAGCAGGTCCGTGCAGTGGTGACAATACGTGGGCCGGTGGAAGGTTTTTTTCACGAAGAAGTGACCCTGGCTGTCTTGGCTGGGAACGGCCGCCATGTTGGCTGCCCGCCGCGGCCGACCGTCAGCCCCGGGGGCTTGCACTGGTCACCGCAGCCGTTAGGTCATGTCGCACCGAGCGTCCACCACAGCAGGCACCATTCACTGCGGCCGCCGGGCCCGGCCGCCATTCCTCCCCGAACGGCCACTCATCGGGCGGACTGCGGGCCGTTCGGCCGACGGCCACCTGGCGACAGAAAACCGAACCGCGCTGGCGTCGACGGCGCGTGCGCGCGCCGGCCGCAGCCCGGACCAGCTGAGCTCGTCGATCGAAATTAATGACGGCGCGTCGAGGCGGTCGACGGCGGGCGGCGCGCACGGCACGAGTCGTCGGCGGGCACGGGCGGCGGCGGCGACGGCGGTGCTTGGGCGGCGCACTCTCTTCTGATTCCCGTTGAAACGTGGCCAAATATCCACTTGAGGCTTTTGGGAAGTTGTGTGCTACTGCTCGGAGATTAAGCAAAATTAAAATTGGATGCTGAACAGGAAAATGGGCTTTACCTACCTTCGAAAATGCAGAAAACGGGTTTCTCTCCGCATTTGACCCACTTCCTGCTCAAAATTGACGGGGTGGAGGTTAGAACGCACCAACTAATCAGAACGCTCTACATCCCTGCTAACGCTGCTTTGTGATGCCAAATTGATCACGTCGCCTTAAAGAGAGTATCCTACCTCTTTTGTTCTTTTCACACGTCGTCATATCACACGGGTACGATCTGGTCGGTGACAACATTTTCCTCCTGTCTGAAAGTTTTACAAATTTGGCTTAAAATAGGCGCTTCGACAGCACAAAGCAAAGCAGAGCACTGGGCCCTGTCCTTATCACTAAGCGAGAAACATTATTCACATAGATACGACAGTAGTATTCCTTATTCCTCGGAGACAAAAACAGGATAATGAAGATATAACTGGGTTGATATTTCTACAACATGCCTTTATCGAAACAATAGCAGAAGTGAGTTCAAAATTGCTTGCCAATGATCCTATTCGATTTTTAGTGTTTTTTTAACAGCAAGCCACTGTTTTAACAGAGCACCAACATTGAGGGGATTAAACAAAGAGCAAGTGTTAGCCATTACCACGATACAGGTGTCTATCTAAGAATGAGAATACGCGAACATGCGCGTGCATACAAACGAATTCAAGCAAATAGGCATCTGGCATCACGCTTCATTCAAACATGCAAGCGGGTATTAAACAGGTATCACACATCGCTCCTCAAGTTATACACGCAAGCGATTTCAGTTGAACAGGCAACGCACATCACGCGTCAGGTATCACTTAAACGTGCAAACAATTTTAATAGAATAGATTCACACAGTGAATCTATTATATTCTTGTTGAATCACGCATCTCAGTGATATGCGATGCGTGTTCAATTGAAACATTAAACTAATTTTAAACACGCATCCCAGCGATGTGCGATGCATGTTCAATTGAAATTGCTTGCATATACAATTGATGCGCGATGTGTGACGTCTGTCTACTTCAACTCACTTGTATGTTTGAATGAAGCGTGATGCCTGATGTCTACTTGCTTGAACTCTTTTGTATGTTTGCATGTATGTATGTATGTATACGCGTATGTTCGCGTATTCCTAATTCTTAGATAGGCATTGTATCGTGGTAATAGCTGGCACTCGCCCTTTTTTAATCCCCTGAATGTCGGTGTACTTTAAAAACATTGACTCGCTGTTAAAAAAAATCAACTGAAAATCGAGTCGCATCATCGGCAGGCAATTTTGAAGTCACTCCTGTTATTGTTTCGATTAAGGCATGTTGCCGAAACATTAGCCGAACTATATCTCCATTCTCCTGGTTTTTCGCCCAGGAATAAGGCTATTACTACTGTCTTATCGAATTCACCAAAATCATTGTTTGATAAATTATATGAAAGCTTGAAGAACTCTATTAAAGGGAATGTTCCACATTTCAAGATATTGGAGCAAACATCAGATATGATGAACTAAACTGACTTATAGCTATTGGTGTACCTTTGATTAGAAAAGAATGCTCTAAACAAATCAATTTCTCGTTCTAGCTCCTCAATGCGTTTTTGTTTCATTGCGTCATCGCACCTTACACAACATTGATTGAGAGCCAATTAACGGTCATTATGTTTAGAAATCTGGAACTAATGGGATGGCAGGATTTGACTGACGTTATTATGTAGTCATGGCTGTCTGAGCGACCTTGAAAATAAATTAAATACCTTGGTGTGGTTGCCTCCAGACCTATCAAATTACGCCTCACATCAATTTTATAGAAGGCGTCTAAAGTAAGAATATTAAAATGAATAGTAGAAGTAGGTACTGCATTCATAAAACAACATCATATCCACTCTATAACAATCTATTTCTTTCTTATTTGAATTACAGTTACTTTATTTGGGGTGTTCAACTTGCTTCTCGACTAGATAGGCTAGTAATTTTTCAAAAACGGCTGTGCGTCTGATAAAAATGATAACTTCCAATAGGCTCCAAGCCAAGCTTTAAAAGGTACAAAATTTTGGAATCATCGGATGTCGCTAAATCACAAATGCTAATTGTGATGCACGAATTTATAACTTCACAGCTTTCTGCATCATTCGATTCAATATACAAGCTCTACGAATAAGGGAAATGCATATGAGGCGAGTAAAGCACTTGGATCACCCATTTTCTTTTCGAAATGATAGGTCATTTACAACATCTTGCCTCGGTCCTAAGCACTGGCACAATATTATGATTCCATGTTGTCCAAGAAGAACGGATATTTCTGGACCAAAAGCCGCTGTTAATAAAATCATCTGCAAGCAATTCGTAGATACATATCAACCTGAGCAACATATTTTAAGATTTCGCATTTCTCCATTGCATGTATGTACCTCACTCCGTACTTAAGTAAGAATGGTTTTGAAGTACGAATTTACGCAATTGTTGCTTTCTTCCTGATTGACGATGGTCATCAGTCAAATAGATCCTGCTGAGACCGAGGATGGGGACCAAAGTGTTAGCCTTACCCTGATTCGCCGTTTTTCATAACGTGGATTGAAAGAACAGATGATACCCCCTGCCATATTCAAACTAAGGAAGGTAGAACCGTACGTTAAAAAAGTGGCTTGCTCCCGACGAGATCTCGCCTGTTGTAACAACTTTTATGTTGGTACTTGAACCCACCAGACCAAGTCAGTAATAAAATATTCCTTAAACTCGGGCTTTGTCAGCTTTTGCATGTTTATATATACAAAACTATACCTGCGCACCAACATGGAATATAAAGTGATGTATTCCTTGTTCAATCTTGAGTGCAATAGTATATGGTCCTATCTTGTTTAAGCCTGCGTGTAAAATTTTGGGCTCTGTTGATATAAGAGCCAAACCTTAGCGCACGGTCCGCAGAATCGGCGGTTGCTCGCGCCGGCTGTGGATCGTCGTGCAGTGCTGAACATAGTCGCTTGTCATAAACCACAGGTGCTAGAGACACATTTTTGGTATCAAAACACGCGTAATGAATGTCTAAGTGGCCATCAAAAAATTGGCCGCGACTGCGCATTATGCTGGACTTGTATCCTCAGAAACATGCGGGGAGGGGGGCGTCGCATCGGCTCTCAATATGAGGCGGAGGGTTAATATGTTCAGAAAGACCTAGCACGCTGTTGTGAAGCTATTAACAGATTTCAATGCAATTTCGCTGTTTGTGACAGATGTTGTGTAAAAACGTTTTGGATGAAGAACTTAAAGGCCTGTTTTATTGACAACTGACTGGCGTAACCTGGCCTGACCTGAGCTGATCGCAATGGGTCGTTTTGGTCACCTAAGCGCACCTCTGGCTATTGAGGGCTCCGTTGCAGGGGTGATGTAATCATCTTCAAAGTCCTCTGGACACTATGGATCTTCTTAACTGCTCAGGGCCTTTTTCGCCACTGGGAGGATCCTCCCATCGTCCAAGAGCTGTTCTGGCTGCTCGATGGGCTCCATGACCGGTCGAAGGAACTCTGGGCTCTCAGGAGTTCAGTAAATGACTAAGGCTTCCTGCTAGCCTCGTGCCCCTCTTACCATTAAGGTGCATCGTTCTTATTGGATCTGTCTATCCATCAGGGATCATTTTAACCCCCAAGCAATTCTCTAGACGCTGATTTTTTTTGGCTGCTCAGGGTCCGCAATGGAATGGCCGTGAAAACCACCTTGCTACGGCTGAAGTCATGGATAGAGATGTGTTAGGGTATGTGGGTGGTTGTGGGGGTTGGACGTCCATTTTTCGCTGGTCCCGTCGGAGATAAAATGTGAGGTTTTGTGCGGCTGTACGCAGGGCCGTTTTTGCTGCGCGCAGCGAGAAGAAAAAATGTCCGTACTGAACGAGTAGTGCCCATGCTCTGCTTAGTCACTAAGACCAATTCGTCCACCCAGAGGCCCCCCGTTACGGATAAGTGGGCCTCAGCTGACCACCGCGTGCACTCGAGCCGCTTCAGGGTCTTAAAAGCTACTTAGGGCCGTTTGCCATTTCAAAGTCACTTCAGCGCACAAAATGACCTCGGAGCTATTCAAGCATTCTTGAACCGTTTCAGTGTGGAGGTTTCCAGTCAACCGGATCAAACCAGAGACACAGGGCTTGATTTTCCTCTGTACGCACTCTTCTGCAAGGGTGAGAAGCAGCTGACGCCATTTAGCATAAAGTGTCAGAAACTCCGTGCGACGTAAGGCCCCGATGGCAACATCCGTGCACGGGGTGCATTGACCTTTTGTGCATGCAGGGCCCCTCTGGTCGCTCACGAGCCGTTTTAGCTGATCGGTATCCTTCTGGACGCTGAAGGGCCCCTCTGGCTACTGACTAGTCCCTTATGGGCGTGGTCCTCTTTGACGGATTAGGGACTTAACTAGTCGCCCATAACGCTAGCCACAAAGGGGAACTTTTAAACGTTTGCGGTCTCTTCTGGCTATCGAAGTATTCATTTGGTTGCTGATGGCCCAATGGCCGCTCAACGACCCATTCGGTCGCCAGACCATATATCTATCATTAAACAATTATTTTAGACACCTGCTTTAGGGGGAGACAATAAGTACTTAGGGGCTTTTCAGGCTATTAAGGGAACGCCCTCGGACCACTAAAGAGCCCTCTGACTACTGCGATGGCCTCTGAGTTCTCAGGACTACGGTCCGCTCAGGACGTTGTTAGGAGCTCAAAGCATTTT